TGATCTCTCGGGGCTGATAGCCAGGGCCTCCTTGTCAGATTTAATTGATTATGCAATGTTTGTTATTATTACTGGCTGCTTTTTACTTTTTGCTGATAAATACCCCGAGATGAGGTACTTTCCGAGCCGATTTCCGCATGTTCGTGATGCATGGCGGTTAGAAACGAAATGCGTTAATTGTCTAGGCTACTACCACCGCCTCTTTCATTGGCTTTTCAATTTGATATCGAATTTCCATGTTGGCTGCTAACAACTTACAGCTAATAATTGCTGTTTTTTTTGCAGAAAATTGCACCCACCTCATCCTCCCACAAATAGTTGTGCAATATGCGTGAGCCGCCGTTGCAGTTGCAGCTGTTGCTGTTGCTGCTTCCTGCCTCCAACCACACTGGCAACATCCATCCACCAGCAATAGCAACAGCAACAGCATTTTACTTGTTAAATTATTTGCTTAACACGAAATAAAATTTTGTTAAACATGTGCCGCAAAGGAAAAGGTGAAACAACAAGGCAGGAGTTGCAAACAAAAAACGCCAAACGCCAACCGCCAAAAACAAAAGAAAACAAAAGCAAACAGCATTTGCATAACCAGCCGCTGCTGGCTGGCTTCCGTTAACAATTAAAAGCACAAACTTAAAACCTAAAACCCAAAGCCCATAATAATCATCCAAGTCCGAGCCATACGTAACAAGTTCAATACATAAGGTTGCATAAACCTATAACTGTATCGCGGCACAGTTTCTGCATCTCGATAATTGCAGCTTGCCACATCACTGCTCTGCAGCCTGAAATATTCTTTGGCGGACACTTCCTGGTTTTTTTTTTTATTTCGATGTTATTATATTGCTGCAACACCCACCGCCTACTGCTGGCTGTGTGAATGTACAAGGTGCAACAACGAATTCCGCTTGCCACATGTACGAGCCGAGCTGGAAATCGCTTTAAACGGCACTTGAGCTCATAGCTCTTGCTGGCAGCCGTCGTTTATGACTCTGTTTTGTGGCCAAAACGGAAAATAGAGATATATATTCATTATGAGGGGGTGGGCTGGAGATTGCTTTCCGCTATGGCCGACTCCATAAATGTTTATGGCAGTGGATGCACATGCCGACTAATTAATTCCAACTCGAATTCGAATCCACTCTCACCTGGGGAGGCATCTTTATGGCTCGCCCTTGGGCGGCTGAACTTTCCATGGCCAGATAAGAGCTGTCGCTCCGATTAGATTACCCATTAAATTATAATCCACATATACTCGCTGATACTGCTGATACTAGGGTATATATAGTCTTCCGATAATGGCAAGCATCACGATTTCTAAAAATATGGCTAGTGCTTGTCAGAGTTAATTTTGGTTCAATTGAGAGCTTCATTTTGTGGCCTAAACGCCAGGCATGCGAGAGCCTACCACCTGATGATAATCCAGCCATTAAACCCGTTCCTTCTTCCATGCAAATATCGAAACAAAGTCACCTGTCGCTCGAGTGCCTCGTTATAACTGACCAGAGCAATAAAGGCCAAAACCAAGCTCTCAAAAGCAACAAAGTCTGCTCGGCTGGAGAAAGAAGAAAGCAAACTGGGTTAAATTCCATTCAAAGCCGGCTCATTCAGGCTGGTTCTGGCCGAGAGTGGGAATGGGAATGACCAGAAGTTGGTAGTAGTGTGGCAGCGTGGTAGCAACACCTCTCGCTTCGACTAATATTTGTCTTACATGGTTTTAGCCGACATTTGTCGTGCGTAGTGCTTGGGTTCGCATAGCGGCGTGAAAAACGCGCGAGCCAGCCACTGGGCTGGCCAGAACACGTTTTGGCTCTGACATTGTACCGCTAACTCGTGTTGCTTCAACATGTTGCTGCTGCACTTGAAGAAAAAACTTGATCTTAAGTCAGGTTATACCGAAAAGTGTGCAGAAATGAAGGCATTTCAGTCTCTAGTCTCTCCAATCTTTGGTTTTTATTTCCCAGTGCATCTGAAAGATGACTGACCAGGCCTAGTGCTTCTTTAAGTGAATGAGTAAAAAGCCCCAACTGTAAACCGCATTAAGTATTTGTTAACCAGCTAAACGAAACTCAGCCTCAGTCTCGGCGTCGTGGAAATAGCTGGAATATTTTCTCCGATCGGCAGCCGGTGCAAGTCAGAGGCAGATCGAATGTCACACGTGTGCCCCATGCCGCGTCCGTTTGGCCAAAACGCGTTTTCGGCCAACAAATACATGCAAGAGAGCGGATCAGGCAACCGGCCAAAAGCTGAAATGTCAGTGCGAGCCCGACTGGTTTCGGTTTTTTGGCCTTTTGGTCAAAAAGGATGTTTTTTTGGCGAGGTGGTGCGGCAACTTTCGTTGCTTTGGTTGTGTTTTGTTTCCGCAACCGCCATTTTATTGTAAACGTTGTTATTTTCATTTTTTTTCCATCTTAACTGAAAGTGAAAATACGAGTATTTACGGCAAAAGGCAAGAAATTTGTTTGCATGCCGAGATGATGCCCGTTGACATAACCATCGATGCGATGCAATGAGATGCGGATGACTCTCAGCTGGACATGGAAACTGGTTAAGTAATAATCGTTGGAGGTGCACAGAACGGATGACTTTCGGTTATTGGCAGGCCGGCTTCTTTTGCGTCTTAAAGTTTGGCATTGTTTGCTTGGCAAATGATATTTTAAAAGCCTTTCCATGCTCTTAAACAAGCAAACAAAACCAAGAAGTATACAATTGTTTTGCTGTTTACCCTCCGAGATTGTTTATCAAACGAGAATCGCTGGAAAGTGTGAATGAATTTCGAGAAAACTATAGATTAGATTTCCCCAACCATCTAATCGTATGGAGCTTTTAGAATCCATATTCACTTTCCCACACACGACGACCGACCTGGACCATGAATGGAGGCTTCTTTCACTTCGTAATTGATTATTTGGGAGGCCCATCGACGTGCTATGATGTATGGGCATACATGGTTGTGCCGGTAATTCTTTTCTCACGTCATTGCTGGCCTAAACGCTTTTCAATAAAAGACCGCACTCTTTGAAGCTGGCCGCCCAGCGAAAGATCAATCCACACATTGTGTGTGAGTTGAGAGTTCTCTTTCATTTTTTTAGCACAGTTGCAGGCCCAGTCAGTGGACTTAGGAACTTGGAACGACGTGCCACTTTTTGGTCCACTGCACTGGCCGGCATTCGCTTTGTCCGCCGCACGAACAGTTCGAGCATTTTTGGATAAATACACGTACTGGGCATGCATTTTGTAGGAACTGGGCTCTTTTCATCTGCAGCGCTCATTAGGCGCTTCTAAAATGCATTTAATGGTTTAATTGTTGAGGCAAACAGTCATGGGAGTGGCTCGTTTGATGAGGCACACTGCCAGGTAGTAGAACATAGAAATCAATTCAACAAACTCAGAGAAGCCTTTAATCTTTATTCATAATAGTCACGCACTACAAGGCCTACTAATATCCTATCCTACCTGCAAAGATTTAAGATCCCAGATCGATAGTATAAGGAACCTTATACCCAAATATATTTCTTGTCAATCTAGCTGGGTGTGTCAGCATTATGAGGCCTTTTCGCATTTATTGCGGAAAACCCACATAAAGTATAAACATATTGAAAGCTCTTGGAGTGGGGCTGGGCAGATAAGCAAATGAGTGGCTGACATGAGGAGCCGGCCGAAATGGCCGAAAATAAAGTGACACAAAGCGGAAATCGAATTCTGAGCCGAGTTAAGAATCTTGGCCACATTCGCCAGCTATTTTTCAGCGTCTTAATCCCCTCGAGGTTCCCCCACTTTTGATAGCCAGACAATGGGGTAAACAACTTGAGACCGGGGACCGCCGTGAATTGGACTTTGGCCCCATGGGCGTGAGCAAATAGCAAACGCAAAACGCGGCAACAGAAACTTCATAAATTTGTTAACACCGACGCAGAGACATACATAGGGGAAAATAGGGGCCAGCCAGCCCAGAGCCAAAATGAGCTAAAAGCGCAACAGGACAATAAAGAATGACAATGACTTGGTTACGACTTGGTCGGCGTCGTGTGTGTCACCCACGCACACGTGGCTCCAGGCCCCGATTCCCATTCCCAAGTCCCATATCCCATATCCATTCAGCATATCAACTTACTCACCTACCGACGGACACTACTTGAGGTGGAGCTCTGGCCAGAAGGAAACTTAATTTTCTGTCATTAGTGGAGGAGCGACTCAGGGAATAGAAGTGCCAGCCAGCTGGCTTTCGTTGTTTGTTATTCTTTATGGCTTAAAAATAGAATACAATTTGAGAAGAGTTGAGCCGCGGTAACGTCTCCGGGCTATTTATTTAAGTGAATTGTGAATAATGTTGTCTGGCGCCGGCACAGACCGACCAGCCGCTAAAAACCGAGAAAAATACTCAACAGTGAGCCATTTATTTAAATAGTTACTTGAGATAAGTAAAAACAAGTAATTTCTTTAAATGTTTTCCTGATAATAAAGTGAGTAAGATTTTGGGAATGTTTTAAACTTGAGATATATATACTGAAGGTCTTTTATTAGTTATAAGCTTTATGACCAGTGTATAGAAATTACATTTAACCCCTTTTTGTGGGAAAGAGGGAGCACCTCCACAACCATAACCCTCCATTAAAGGCAAATTCAATTTACAATTTTAATTGTGATTGCAGACAGCTAACCACACCGAGACGAGTTTATTGATTTTTCATTTGGTCTGCAAAACCACTCGGCTTGTTGTCTCACTGGTCCCGATGCAATTATCCGGCCCGGGACTCGATATTTGTTTTGCACTCGCTGGCAACTTTCCTCGCGAACTTGACCCTGGAACTGAAATACCTGGTTTTGTTAGCCATGTCCTCCCAACGAGCACGTACACAGACGACTCGACTGATTGCTCTTGAATTGTCAACACAGACGATTTATGGATCTGCCGCTCACTTACACTATATAATATATATTATACTACCCGTATATAAAAAATCATGTTTCTGATTAGCCGTTTTGGATATGTTTTCTAGGTCACACATCGTACGACCGGGCAGGTGATGGTCCTGAAGATGAATCAGCTGCGGGCCAACCGGCCGAATATGCTGCGAGAAGTCCAGCTGCTAAATAAGCTATCGCATGCGAATATATTGAGGTAAGTTGAGACAACTCTAATACTCTCATCGCTTAAGAACGTTGCTATAAATACAGAAAACTATTCTAATCGTCAGTAAACAAAGGATTTGAGATTAATGGGTCAATGCCATGTCCAGATTCGTGATTCATCTCCGCTTTTAATTGCAATCTTGACTCTGGGACTCTGAAAGGTTTATGAATGATGGCTGTTGTTTCCATATATATGCTCCCTTTTCTTGATTTGTGGTGATCATGTGCCCCGATGTGTTTACGCATTCAGTTCACACCTCCCCGCGAATTGGTCATTTATTTGAGTCGATTGCGTAAACAGTTTAATGGGCTTATAGTATTTCGGATTCCACGCAAATAATGATGATGTTCTGGCCGTCGGTTTAATTCATTGTCGCATATATTAAGCACAAGTACCCACTGGATGGGGGAACAATACTGACCTATCATAAAACCTATCGTACTGTGGGATGATTCACTCACTTGATGCTGACAGCTATACTGACATCATTATGGAAATCATTTTTTATGGAAATTTGAAAGTAATTCTAAACAAATATTTACTGCATATCGAAATGAGATTGCTTTGTTGTTTGTTATTATTTTGGCGGTTTGTTTATTTTTTCGACTGGCCATTTGGCATTTCGAGTTCAGAGCGGTTCAAGTCCAAATTGCGGCCCAAAACAGTTCCGATGCCCGACAAAAGGTCAAGTTCAGGGGCTGCTGTTGTTGCACTGGCTGGCTGTAATTACCTTGGCAGTGACCAGGTGTGTGTGCTATCCCCCCAGCACCAGTACCAGCACTCTCACGGTCACAAAAAAGTGCTGATGTAATTGACGGAATGAGTGGTGGCGCGAAAAGCCAACTCTCAACACCAACTGGCTAAGGCTAAGGCTAAGGCTCTCCTCGGGGGGATAGTCATGACATTGTTGTCTGGCTTGACTAGATTTAATTGCCAAGCTGCGTAGCTCACTCACTGGCAGTGATTTTTTTGATTTTGGCTTGATTTATACTTTAGCTTTTTTCCGTTTGCAATCATCACGTGACTGCACGCAACAATGACTGTCTGATGCCAGCCAGCGCCTTCAATTGTATGCAATTCTGAGGGACTTTTTTCCAGTTTCTATTTTCCTATTTTAGCTATTTTTTCCGCAAGCTGCCAGCCAGACCAGTCCATTTTGCACCGCCCATCTTTTCCTGTATATCCATGAATATGCAATTTCTGGCTTAGCCTTAGACTGGCTGCGACCCCGCCCTTTCATTAACAATGTTAACACCCCGGCGAAATGGCTCAGATGAAGTGTTGTCTTTCATTAGACACCATTCTTGCTTCCCACAACATTGTTTGGAGGATTACTGGCTGCAGTCCAAACTTTAACCTCGAAATCCAGGCGGAGGAGCACACCTGATTTTTATGACATCTGTCATCATCCCCGCCGGTTGGGGAGTGAAACGTGCAGCGAATCATAGCCGGAGTATTAAATGCTCTGGCCAACTTATTTCGCTGTGTGCCTAGCTCGTTGAGAGATGGATTTGGGTCAGCGGAACAGCCAGCCATCCAACCAGCCAGGCAACACACACAATTCTACAAAGGCGAATGCAGCTGCCAACTTTTCTTTATTCGTGGGCATTAAATGAAAATTCTGAAAAGTCTGGAATGCGGCTATGGCGCCATAGGCCGACTGGATAGTGAAATTAAAATGCAGCCACACGCATATAGGTCTTTGTTTTTATTGGTCCCCAGCAGCCACTAACCCACTAACTACAAAGAAACAAAGCCTTATGATTGAGAATATATGGCGAGAGTCTGTAATGACAAATTATAGGCCACTAGAATCTATATTTCTTGAGAGGCCATTCCAATTAAGTTATATTTGATGAGGATTTAATGCCTCCTAGTTAGGCCTTATGACGGCCCTGCCTAGATCCCCCAATTGGGCTTTTATCAGTGACGTGGATCGGCGAACCCTCCACTCCCAACTAACTTGGCTGACTGACTAGCCGACTTGACTGGCAGTTAGTTAGGCGCTGCTCTTGTTGGCGGGCATGTTTAATGATGCTTAACGATCGCGGCTGTCGGCTAACTGTCAAATCCTAACAGCCACACCGCTGGGCGTCCATGCCGATCTGGCACCTCCCATGGATCGCTCGGCTGCTCCCCGGCTGGCTAATGAAGCCTATTGATTGGCTTTACCGTTGCATCTCCCGAGCATTACCGATCCTAATGCTAATTCTAATGCAGCCGGGCATCAATAGAACTAATCTTTGGCGGGTGGGCTGATTGCTTCGTTGTTGAGTAATTGAAACCACCTTTCTAGCCGGCAGCAGGCGGCCAGCAGCGGGCCGCACTCGAGTCGTACACCCACTCACGCCCGTATGGGTGACTTATTGGCCACAAGCCTGAAACTGAAACTGAAACTCTCTCACAGCCGACATGTATGTATTTTTTATGGGCTTATCACGCGCCCGCCGTAATGCGGAATGTCGCACAATGAGAACGGGCCAAGTCAGGCAATTGCATTGCAACTGCAACTGCCCCTGCAACACCCACCCACCCACATATAGCCGCTCCCATAAAGCCCACAACTTGAAATATAGTCTATGCACTGTGAAAATTAGTTTAAAGATTGAATCATTTTTCAAATATAATAACTCTTAATGTTGAAACCAATTATTTTTAATAAATGACCAAGAATTCTTTTGGAGAAATTCTTTAGCTTTCTAGAAATTAAAAAATCTTTTGAGAAATGTATCTTGGTTTCTGCCAAAAATTTTCACTCAAGTGTAACCCAAATATAGATTTTTTCGAGTGCACTGCCTGCATTGTTTGACTCACAAATCTCATTGCTGGAGTCGGCTTCCATAGAGTGCCTTTCGCGAATTGTAAACACACTGTGATGACGACGTTGGCGCCGGTGGTTCTCTGCTCTGGTTTGCAGTTGCTGTTTTATTAACTCCACATGTGTAGCATTTGTTCGGAGGAAGCACAAACATGTTGCCTTTGGCTTAAAGCCATTTAACGCGACTAAGCCCGGCCAGACATGTCACAGTTCTCGGGCCGAGTCATTACGTTTGTAAACAATGGCAGAAATTCCGCCTGGCATGGCGGCAGTTGATCTTTGCGCCTCACTGAGATGCTAAGCAGGTGATAAGTTGTGGGCAAATGTTGACAAATTGTTGGCATGCGAAAGTGCTCGAGGGTTAATGACTCCACTACCGCGCAGAAGAGGTGTTAGGGTTCCAGCTGCAACTCACTGGTGACCCCGATTCAGGGCTGAGAGGCAGAGTAGCTTGTGCAATCGCCTATTAATAGACGCCGGCCCAAGAGATTGCACTAAGGTCAGATTGCACTTAATTGATTGTGTCGATAGCCAGTCGCTCGACCCACTCATGTTGCCCGATGATGGGTCCCACTGACGTGAAGGTCGTCTGTGGTGAGGGGGATAGTGGGCACTCAGAGAACCGACTATAAACCCAGAGACTATAAACTACAATCTATGAATGGGTTTTCTAAAGATTTTCTCGGAGTGTGCTCGTGTAGAGGCTATATGTTCGGCGGCGGCGGCTTCTGCCTTTTTCGAGGGGGCCACTGCACATTGTTGTCTCGGCCATTATTCGTATTTGTCTTGGCTTGATTTGTGTGTTGGCGGCTCGTTGCTGTCCCCTTTTATGAAATGCTTGCCAATAAACTGAAATCGTTGGCCTTGAAACGAACGGGCGCCCAGTGGCGGCGGCGCATTGTCAGGCTAATGAAAAGATTGTCGAGAACCGTCGAAAATTGTTGACAATTTAATGAGCAAGAGGTTGCAAATTGGCCGTTCATTTAGCAGAAGCAGACTATATACAATTATTCATTTAATTGAGGATTTAGCATCTACGGTCTAGAGTACCGAGAAGAGTCCCTAACATCAAACAGCTCCTGGTTTGGCCTGTTTCAAGCAACCAGTGCTGCAGCAACACCTGAAAGAGAGCGTGTCATGATTGCGGCCACATAAACATTTCTTTTTATTGCCTAATGGATACACGAGCGACTGCCAGACTGGTCGACTGCTGGCTTGCATTGCACTTTTATCAGCGCAGCATTTCATGTTTACCCACCGATCCGATCCGATCCTCAACCGGCGATAGATACTTGTACGTACGACAAGTATCTGTATCTGTAATTGAAGCTGCCACAGCCAAGAAAGCTAAATTGGGTTAATTTCTGATTGATGATCAACATGGCCCGGTAAATACTCCTCGAGCAATTTCATTAAGCAGCTTGTTTCGTCGCACCGCCCGAGATCAGGTTGTACGATCTGGATCGAAGCGTTAGAATTGACGTCAAAGGAGAGACCTCTTTTGCATCACGGATTTCGGCTTCCGAGAGTCTATTTATAGAGCATAGGTGGGCGATATTTTTAGACTAGGAGTACATGAAAGATTTGCATTCATAAACTGCCGGCAGTCCACACCTCATCTTTGTACTGGTGGCACTCTGTTTATTATTTCTGTTTTTGCCTTCGAATGCCAAAAACTGAGCGCTGACCCAAAACTGGGGCGGGTGGTGGTGCTACATTATGTATTTTTTTTTTTTCAGCTTTTTATTTATTTTGGTAATGCTTTATGTCTGCCATCAAGACAACAACAAAAGGCGAGTAAATAAAAAAACTAAAGAAACGCATGGGGATGGGGATGGAGACGCAATTGCAAGTCATTGAACTCACAATGTTGCATTGTGTTGCTGCTCTGTAAGTGCTAACACATGTAAAAATCCAATCCGAACAGATCCGAGAAATATAAAGAAGAGCACAAGGATTGATGTTCCCCAAAAAAAAAAAATGAGTAATATGTATCTCACAATGGGCCCCGAGACAGATGCAGATACAAAGATACACAGATACAGATTGGAATTTAATGAGCTGCATTCGGCATTCCATTTGAATCCATCCGTTTTTTAGTTGCGTGCCGTGCCGGGCCTGCTGTGTGCAATGTAACAAGTTTCTTGACAGCAATTACTCGCCACAGCCATGCCTCATTGCTTCGCATTCGCTCGGATTTGGTTTATCTTCAGGCCTGCTATTTTGTCAGCATAAGTCGCATATGTAATTGTCAACTTCCGCATGAAAAAAATAAAGCCATAAAATGGTAAATAAACGTGTCAGGCCGTTGTCCCATAAAACATCTTTCACCCAAATGGTATGGTGAGGCGGCTGCGGCTCTTGGCTCGCCAGCCAACATTCACTTCCAATTTGCGTCTGCCGCTGCGTTTGGCCATTGTCTTTTGTTGTTTTGAAATTATGTCATCGACTTTCAATCAATTTCAATACACTTCAATCAATTTTGCACAACAAAAAGGCAAACATTAGATATTCAGATTTATGCAACACCCATGCAGCCACCAGTGGCGCTTTCTTTTCGGCGGGGGGGGAGGCCCAGAAAAATCGGTCAGCAGTTAAAACAAGAAGAGGAAGTAACAAGCAACAGTTGCTGCTGCTATTCTGGCTGCTGCAGCTGCAATCTGCATAATTTTCGCATCACGTTTTGCATATTTTTCTAATTGAAAACCAAATTCAATCATTTCATTTCGAAATGCTCTGTTGTTACTCCGCCGGTCCGTCAGTCCGCCGCCAGTCGCCAAATGCCGAATGGTAATTGCAGTTGGCAGCATTTAGGAGCATTTATAACGCCCACAGCCACGCCCCTTGTTTGGGCTTGAGATTGGACCAGGGCTTGGGCTTCAGCTTGGGTTTGGGTTTGGGCCATTTGTTGTTTGGCTAAAAGCAAGCTTTGTTGGTTTTGTGTCAACCTTTTAACCTCCGATCGTGCTGCTGCTCTTGCAACTGCAGTTGCAGTCTCTGTTGCAGTTGCTGTTGCAGTTGCTGTTGCTGCTGCTGCTACTCCTGTAGTTGTTGATGTTGTGGTAATAATTTTCAATTAAGCGCAAAATGCTTTTATGCTCCAGTTCGATTTGCCAACATTAAATGCCTCCGAGATTGCAACATCATACGAGAGTGAAAGAATTCCGATCGGGATTGGGATCGGGATTTTGCATTTAACCAGTCAGAGGTAGCTTGGCCAGAGGCATTGGAACTCGAGCTGGACTCCGGATCGATAGAGCGTCTGAGCAGAGTCTGGGAAACCAATTGGCGCGGTCTCAAAGCAGAGAGAAACGTGCAAACGTGTCAATGTATGGTTTTCATTGCAGAGACTTAGTTGCAAAGAGAAAAGCCGGCCAGCCGTTTCCCGAGAAAACTCGGCGGCAATGCTTGCTACCAATACTGTTACCAAGCAAAGCGCAGCACATTTCAATTTCGTTAAGTAGAGAGGAAAAACTGGCTAAAAACAAAAACGAAAAAAAAGAACAAATTGAAAATCTAAATGCTGTCAGAACAATGCATCGGCAGTTGCAGAGGCGCAGAAAAGGTTTATAGCCGCTTGAGTAGTTCTCGCTTCCTGCTTGGCTTCTGCATCGTCTCCTTTGGCTCTTTCAAGAGGGCGAAGGCTTACACAGAGAGAAATTATGCCAAATAGTAGATGAGTTCAGCCAGAAGTTTACTCCAAGTGCCATACTAAGAGTGTATTCATTTCCTGCTGCAAGCTCAGCACAGAATGCCCTTCGGATAGACTCGACACCTTTGGTAGAATCCCAGGGACTTCTCCTTTCAGGCCCGACTACTGATTTGCATTTCCAGCCAATTGGACGTCGAGGGGGTTGACGAACCCGGCACGCCCTCAGCATTAAGCTTTGTTTTCGCTTCTGATAATTAATGAATCTTTTTGCGTTCCCAAAAATAACAACACTCTGCACCCCGACTGATGAATGCGAAATAAATTAATCGCCCAATTAACAACTGCTCTTCGTGCAATCGAACCTTGTCGACAGACTGCTTTTTTTGCGGTAGCCACTTTCATTTTTTACCCGCGGATTTGCTTACTTCTTCTGGCTTTTGTTTTTGGGGGAAAGGTGGAACGATATAAGCGAGACCTTAACCCTTAAATTAAGTCATTTCTGTCAACAGATCGCTTCTCCAAAAGGCAGGTCGGGTCGAGTGCACATTAGAGGTGTTTACGGGCGGGAAAGCCGATTAATGTAAGCCGCTAATGGGCAGATGGAGAGTGGGCAGGGGCACTCTCTCGAGGCGCTAATCGTGCCTCACGCAGGGAAATAAATTGAATTAGAACCGTAAATCCCGGCGATGGCCATGCAAATGGAAGTGCGGCCTCCTGCAGCACCCACGGTCACGAACTTCGGAAAGGTAGGAGAGGTAGGTGTGCCGCCGCCTCGTGTTGCAGCACCAGAGAGGATGTGCAGCAGACAAAAAAAAACCCTCTTGCCTCATGCCTCGGGCCAGAGCCCCGCCTGCCTGCCTTCAACACCTGGATGGATGAAAGGGAGTGAGTCCCCGGCTTTTGTGATAACTTCATTTTAGATCCGACCCAAACGGAGCTGAGCTGAGCCCTTGGGCTGTCTGAAGGGCTGACATGTGTCTGCCACAAACTGGCAGGGCAGCTATCAAGCATCTCGAAAGGGTCATGCCCTCTCGGCCAAGACATCTTCATTTTTTATGCCACGTAATAGCCACGGTACAGTTGGAACTTCCCGATGACAGTGTTTTGGTTTTTAATTACAAGGCCCCTTCGGAAAATTCCGCAATCTTTACACTATTATCACCTACACTTATGATAGATTTGGTAAGCACTCTGGCTTATCAATTGCCAAGCTACTTAGGCTTAGGCTTCGATTGGAGGCATGAGGCCATTTACACAAGCTCCACTGCATAACCCTATCTCCTGACTCTCGTGACTGACCTTAGAGATGTCAGCAAAGCTGCCCTCGCAAGCGGTTAGATCCTATCTGGCTGCTGTGATTCCTGACACCCGATATCACTACGTAAGTCAACAAGGCAGGCACTGCAACAGGTGGTGCTTGGGCCGGCAACCCTTTCAAAGCTTGTATGCTAATGCCATCCCTTAGTAGCCCTTCCCCTGGGATTTGGGAACTGTGGTGTTGTTATAACCTTTGATTGTCGTGACGTCACATGTCAGTCACACCCCTGAGACCAGGAGCAGTGCTTCCGTGGGAATGGGAGTGGGAGTGGGGATGTCAAGGATGAGGTGACAGACAGGTTGCGTGCCCGAAGCAATTATCGTTGGCCTGTTCAGCGTTTGCAAAATTTATTAGCGATTTGATGCGTTGCGGTTAAACTAATGAAATTAATTTCTCCAGTAAGTGAAAATTAATGGCCCAAATGGATACATAAACTTCATCGAACCACTTGCCACTAGCCACTTGCTGTTTGGCTTCTTGGCCTGGCAAGTTTGTATAATTTTGAAGAGAATTGCATGGCAGCATGACGGCCGATAAAGCTTATCTGGCACACGGCAGAGTGTTGCCAACAATTTGGCAAATGTTTTGGGCCATGGCTATGACCGTCCGGGCCAGGCCAACTTCTTGGAGCATGTGCCGCAGATAAGCCCGCCGAGCCGATTAGACCCAAAGCCTTATCGGAGCTCTATATGTATTGAACACCTGCACGGGACCTTAGTCACATGCGCCGATCGCTGGGGAATTTAAAAATATATACATCCGCAAGGAAATAATTAATACAAGAGTGGGTATTCCCTACACTAACGTAGGGTATTCGGAAGATGATGCAATCTGGCCGGGTTTCAAAGTTCATTGTCACCTCGGAGCATCGTTGTCAGGCCTGTCTGGCTGCAGTTAACCTTTTTCTTACCTGACTGAACACCCACCTGGGGGGTAGTCAGCCGGAGGCAGACGCATGCGTTGCCATTTTCTTAATAAGCTTACAGTTCCGGCTCCCCAGATGACCTCAACTTGTCCTGTCGCCTGGAACGACTCTGGAGAGTGGCTGGAGTTGAGCTCCTTAGGCTTAGGAGTTGGCGGGAGTCATTGACATTGTGTCTGCGGCCAGGAAGCGGAGATGAGAGATGAGTGCTCTTGTGTGACAGGTCCATTGTTCTTAAATTCCTTGGGAATTCCTGCCCTCTTGTCCTGACCGGCCAGGAGAAACTTTCTCCATTAATTGCGTGCTCCCCGGGTATTGGTGGCTTTGAATTACAATTTCATTCTGCATTGATTCACCCAGAGGGTGGTCTGGTCGATTGCATGTCGCCTGGCGATAAGTTCGGGGCCTTGGTGGAACGGAATTGCAGTTGGAGGCGGCTCCTGTCAGGGTTCCGTGATGGAAAGTGAAACTTATTCCGGCCACGCCGAATAGTTGCAATGCAGTGAAAAGTTTCCCCAGACTAACCCAAAGTGTGTTCTTCTATACCTTGCAGCTTTATGGGCGTCTGCGTGCAGGAGGGCCAACTGCACGCCCTGACCGAGTACATCAACGGCGGCTCCCTGGAGCAGCTGCTGGCCAACAAGGAGGTGGTGCTCAGCGCCACGCAGAAGATAAGACTGGCGCTGGGTATAGCGCGGGGCATGGCCTACGTCCACGACGCCGGCATCTTCCACAGGGATCTGACGAGCAAGGTGAGTACTTCCCAGATGGCTTCCCAAATGGACCTTTTAATTAAGCGGTTCCTTTCAGAACGTGCTTATACGCAATCTGGCCAATGATCAGTACGAAGCCGTCGTGGGTGACTTTGGACTAGCCGCAAAGATACCAGTTAAATCGTAAGTGTCCAGACTTTGAAACTCCAAAAGCTTATTTCTGATAACTGACTTGCTTGCAGCAGAAAATCACGCTTGGAGACCGTCGGCTCGCCGTACTGGGTCAGCCCGGAGTGCCTGAAGGGCCAGTGGTACGACCAGACCAGCGATGTCTTCTCCTTCGGCATCATCCAGTGCGAGATCATCGCCCGCATCGAAGCCGATCCGGACATGATGCCGCGCACTCAATCCTTTGGCCTGGACTACCTGGCCTTTGTCGAGCTCTGTCCCATGGACACGCCACCCGTGTTTCTGCGCCTCGCCTTCTACTGCTGCCTGGTGAGTAATGGATCTTGACCAATCAGAAGCATAATTTAACCATTTATCCTTCTCCTCCAGTACGATCCGAAGAGCAGACCCACTTTCCACGATGCCAGCAAAAAGTTGACGCTTCTGCTGGAGAAGTACGAGCACGAGTCGTCGGCGGGAGCGAGTCCTCTGAGCTCACTCGAGCTGATCAACTGCTCGCCAGGAGGCAGTGACTCGGAGCACGTTGCGGCAACAGCCACGCCACTCACCTCAGCGCCCACCGTAGCCACCATTTGCACGGCTCCGGCGGGTGTGTTGACGCCACGTCACCTGAGGGAAGTGGACGAGGAAGGCTTCCGTTTCCCGAGCAAGAAGTCAGCATCGGCCGCCCTACCAGGCACTCCGAACGGATCCGCCGGCAGCACTGGCTTCGAAGACCACATACTTAAGTCGCGAGTGCGGCGGGCCACCCAAAAACTGGAGGCCGAGATCCTGCTGCACCGACGCTCGCTGAGCGAGAACATCATCCACTTCCCGATGCACACGTCGCCTAGCGATAAGGCGCGATGCCATCAGATGACGCGCCAGCGCTCCTCCACCCACTCACCAACCCCGCCGAGGCAACTCTCTTCGGTCCAGTTGCCCGCCACTGCTATTCCCGATCCCCCGCCACTCCCGCAACCGGTGCCCGCTGTGCTCACACTCCGCAAGGTGGGCGAAACCATGTGCCTCAAGGATCCACAGTACAAACGGCCGACTGGCAAAGACCACAATGGCTCCAAGCCGAATCCCTTCGAGGCCTTGGCTCAGCTGCGCGGCGTGAAGAAGATTCTAGACGCCAATCCCAAGACCTATGCGGCGGGCGTGGGTGATCTGTTCAGCTCGTGCTTCGAGATGCTGGCTCCGTTCTTCAAAGAACTGGCCGCCATGCAGGGCAAGGCGGTGCCGCAAGGTGCGGGAGCTGGTTCAGCTGAGGGCAGTGATGTGGCAACACAGGCGGCGGCAACGGCAGCCACACCCAGTGAACCAAAGAGTCTGCCTGTTTCGCCACACATGACCCGCAAGTACAGCGCCATCGAGCTTCGACTCCCGCAAAGGATTAGCAATGCTGCCCCGGCAGCGGCAGCGGCCCCTGCCCCTGAACCCAGTTCAGCACCAGCTGCAGAGGAACTCCCCGCGGATGAGGATGATTGTGATGAGTGCAACTCGGAGGGCGAGGATCCCGATGGAGGCGGCAACTGTGCGGATGCGGAGTCCAGCAGTGATGACAGTGCCGTTCGCCCCCCCACCGTGTCGACCGCTCGCAAGTATCGTGCAAACTCCCTGTACACGCATCCGCTCTTTCGGGGCTCCAGCGGCACCAGCCTGAAGAGCAACAGCACCAGCGAGTTCGAAAGTCCGGCTCTGCTGAAGGCCAGTGCCTCGACGCTGACGCTGACGGCCTCCACAGTGGGCGCTTCCAACTCCAACGAGGACCTGACTGACTGCAAAAAATCCAAAGAACAAACGGCTGCCAGCGCCGCAGCCATCACCGCCCTACCTTCACCTACACCCCTCTCCTCGGGCTGCTCGGCTAGATTGGCCGAGACGCCGGCATCCGTGTCCTCCTACACCGACCTAGAGCTGGACGAACTGAAGAATACCTGCGATCTGAGCGAGCTGAAGAACTCCTGTGAACAGCTGCCCTCGAAAACGAATCTTACGCGCCGCGACTCCATCGAAAGTGGCTTCTTCTCGTGCTTCAACGAGGAATCGGATGCTGCCATAACCAACAACAGCTTCGGCCGGCAGTTCAACGGAATGGGATCCCTGGGAATGGGATGTGGCGGCGGCGGCGTGAACAGCAGCAACTGCTGTTACGAGCAGTTGAAGACGCAGCTACTGCTCGACGCAGGAAGTGGCGCCAACAGTGAACTCAAGTACGTATGCCACACACATATGTGACGTCCACAAAATCACAAAACCCACAGTTCAGACTTGTCAGCATTGTATTCGTGGTATACATTGAATAGTTGAAACCATTTCGAAGCACATGCATTGGTGAAGCACTCTTATATAGTGTTGCCTTCATTCTCTGTTTCCTTGAACAAATGTAGTAATGTTAGGATACTTTTTTTTTAATATTCAGGCTAAACTCCACATTAAACTGCGGCATACATATCGAGCCCTAAAACAGAATAACGTAAGTGAAAGTAGTAGGAAAGCATAGACTGTTTATTCGAGGGTTTTGTGGTTTAGACTTAGTGTCTTGTTCAATACTTACTCTTGCATATTATTTCTTTCAGTGATAAGCTGGCGAGTCTGTGTCGATGCTGTTACTACGCTACCTCAACATCCAATGCAGCCGTGACTGCCGCAGCTGCTGCAGCTCAGCAACAACACCACAACCAGCTCCTCAACGACACCTCTTCCACGTCCTCATCTGTGCTGCTAATCGACAACGATCCCTGCGTCCTCGGAGGCAACACCTCGTCCTCTACAGCTTTGGACTCGATGGATGACCTGGACGCCGAGATTGTGCCCGCCCGGCAGGTCCACCAACGCCGCTATACCTGCCACCATGCGCTGCTGGGGGGCAACGGAAGCGATTCTCAAATGGCAGCCACCGCTGGACTCATCAACCGCCTGGCCTTGGATTCAGAGATCCATACGTTGCTCCAGCGCAGCCCATTTGCCACGAACCAGCTGCTGTACTGCAAGAACCGAACCTCCTCCATCTACACCGACAGCTCCGATGACATCAGCAGTCTGGCAGGGTCGGACTCGTTACTCTGGGACGATCGCTCCTTCACGGCGCTGCCTAGTACACGTTCCGCCCAAATAGCCAAGATAGTTGAGTACTTCGAGCGGAAGCGGCAGGACTCCTCGCCACCGTCGATGCATCATCGGACCGGAAACGGAACTGTGGCCGCCGCCGTGGCTGCATCGGCCCTGGGATCCAACTACCTCTCGTACGAGTCGCGCCGCTATTCGGACTTTAAGCGGCACCTGAACGCAGATGCCCTGTGCTTCGACTTGGACAAGAAGCCGGCCCAGCAGCGGATGATGGTGTGCGAGGGGGCCGTTAAATCGAAGCTGCCGCTCTTCGACAAGAAAAAACAACAGCAGGGCGGCTAAGGGACGGGATATACATAAGCTCATTCGTTCAGTCACCTTGTTAGATTCATTGAGATTTTTATCCTCATACCCGATTCCTTCACATCTGGCAGCCACGCATGCTAACAATACAGAATAGTTTGTCCACAAAAGTTTGTTAGTTTCCGATGCCTGAAAAGTGTACTTTAGTTGATAGTTTTATTTCCTTATAATGTCATGTGTATAGAGAGCAATTTCAAATAAGCAAAACTGTTCTACTAAATTTGGTCATGCCCTTAACTAACCGTAAGAGAAACCTTTTCGTTTGTATCAGTTGGAAAGTGTGTCTAATTATCATAAACATGCAATTGCATATATTATACATAAACATAATCATATGTCGTACTGGTTCCTAGTCTTTCAAATTTACATCGCTATATATTATGCTAAATTAGCTAAGTGAGTATGCTAGAAACCAATCTTGGAAAGTATTTATTCTTATTAATTAAAAATCTGTCACTGGTATACTCCTACGAAATGGCAAAGCTGTTTTCTATACATACAATATTATTATTATTACTACAATTATCGCTATATTTATTTGATTTTGTTTAAAACTCTGTATAAAATGATTATGTTTAAAATACAATACAAATATACACATATACTTTAAATGGCATATTGCAATACATACATTTTAACGGTAGCAAGTATTTACGATGTAAGATCAAAGATAAATATCTATAAAGACCTGTCGACTTGAGGTTGTAAGACTTGAATCGGTTTTATCATCGAAAATTGTACATATTTATGGTCCCGAGAACCGAGAAAAATTGTATCTGGCGCTCTCCGACCGCCAAAATTATGATACTTTATTTTTAAATGCCCATGTTAGTAATACGCGGTTATCGGCATTACAAATAAATACTAATGTATACATAAAAAAAAAATATCCTGAATAGTGTTTTATCAGGTATGACTTCTGGTTTTCCCGAATTATTATCGTAAACACACATATTCCAACGAAACTATTCGACTTATATGGAATCTGTCTGCAATTAGACTTCAATTATATAACATATTGCAAATGCAAGGCGAAGACTGAGCCGCCGTTTCCGATTGGCTAGTAGTTTTCATTATTAAATAAATGATAGAAAAAATATACCCGACAATTGGTTATATTAACAAATGAAATCATTAGAAATTAGGGGCTCTAACTTACTTTACCAACATAGGCACTGTCAAACAGAAACATTAAATAAGGAAATAGACTTTCGCGGCAGCTGTAAATAAAACCCGATTTGTGTACATACGATATGACACACTAAGCGAAGATTGTTAAGAAACGTAAGTCGTCCATTTGATTATAACACTTCAACCTCATTGCATCGTCTTGTTAAATGGGTACTAAGTAACGCCAAACAAAAAAGAATCATGAATTTAAAATTCGTTTCCGGTTGCCAATCAAACATTTTAATGCACTTTCCGACAAAGGTCGATCATAAATAAGTATTATATAAATATGTATACATGTATTATCAACATTGAAATCGCAGTCCATCCCAGACATCTAAGATCAGTTTTGGTTTTATCATAAAGTGCCACAAGATCCAAGAACAAAACCTTTTGGCAAAACCATAAATTGTACTCGTATAATAAAGATACTGATATAGAAAACGTAAATACTTTGTTTCAAATTATAATTTTTAAGAAACTTAGGTTTTGGGGGAACAAATTTTGAAAATTAAAAACGCCAAAAAGTATGCCATTAATATTTTAGACCCATGTAAAATATATTTACATCGGTAGCCGTTTTTTTTACTTCTTCGTTGCACGAACATTTTTTGTTTGTTTCAGCTATGATGTATTAGCGATTAAAATAACTTGTACAATATATATTCTTGATCAGCATCGTCTCTAGATTTTATTTTTATCTTTTTTTTTTTTTTAAATCCTATATCCAGGGGATAAGCGAATATATCCTGGAAATATGGAAAATATCCATATAACTAAATACAATTCAACACCTCTATTTAACTTCAGGTATACCATATTCAGCTTCGCCCGAATCAAGCTTTCTCATGTTGTTTGCTATGTTTTGGGTTGTTTTTGAATAACCATCAGTGATAAAATCAGTGATTTGATCAAAATATTATTGTTTGCTTGTTTAGTTTTAAATAACCAAGTATAATTACTATTAATACCGCGTGTATATTCTCTAGCCAAACCATATAAAACCCCATTCTCGACCAAAGCGCATTCCAAATAAAATGTAACGATGGCGTTTGTCAAATCTATAGTTTTAAATATCTTATTCATTCTGAAATTTGTGAATAATTCTGTGCAAACGACTTACGACTTCACATTAGAAGAAGAAGAAGTTTTTTCAGAATGTCAAGAAAAGCACCCAGAATACCTCAACATGGATCAAATGTTAGATTTTTCACACACCTCCTTTTCCATGAGTGAAGAAGGCGTATCAGTGGAAGGTAATATGACTTTTTGCTGGGACATAGATCCTAAAGATCGACTAGAGGTAAGTAGGAAACAGGCTTTTGTTATTATGTGATTCATATAGGAATTTCAGGCTTCAACTTCAGTTTCCTACTTTGATCGTGGAAGTTGGCAAGCTACTGTTCTTAATATTAAATACAAGGATTTTTGCGTCTCCATGTTCGACCCCAAACAATTTTGGTACAAATTTTGGACGAAACATGTTCGAAATGCCGAGTATGCAATGAAAGTGTGCCCCCTACCTGGAGTAAGTATCAAACAGTTAAACTGAAAGTATCTCCCAAAGTATATTTTAAAACAGATAACATTTGTATTGGAACCGTATACACTGAATCTACAATTCGGGTTTGACGTGCCATTAAAACCAGGACGTTACAAGATTGTACTTCTCTTCTCGGCAATAGATGTTGACGGTAAGGTGCGTGATAAAAAAATTTGTGCAGAGATAAGAGGTTCCTTTATGAAATAATTTTCATTTGTGTTTTTCTTTTTTGAAGACAATAGCGATGATAAATTGTAAATGTTTTCAAGTATTAATAAAACATGGACTTAGTTTGTACTAAACCAGAATACATTTAATAAAAGAAAATACAATGTTTGGGACTTAACCAAAAAATTATTTCTTTGGCACTTCCCTTAACGCCCCCATAATAACGGGCGGAGTCGAAGTTTATATACCTTTGCAGTTCATATTCATATTATAAAATACTATCGGATCGGATACATACATATATTGAACATTGGATAAAGTTTGCCGATACTTTTGAAAAATTCATTATTATAATAATTATTATTCGATTTATATATTAATTAATAATATATAATAATAATTAATAATAATAATAATAATAATAATAATAATAATAATATTTATAATATTTATAATTAATTAATATATTAATTATTATTAATTTATTATTCGATTATTATATAAATTATTATTATTATAAATTTGGAAAAAAAACAAAGCTTCTATCTTGAAAACCAGAGTTGGTTCATTTTCGATTTTTTTGTTATATGGCAGCTATAGGACAGTCAGCCGATTCATATGAATCCGACCATTCATGGTAGCTGATAAGCGCATTTTAAATACAATTTTACGATGGGCATAGCCCAAATTATGGTTTTTAAAACCCTATTGATTCTAAATCTTGTGAGTAATTTAGTGCAAACGATTTACGACTTGACATTAGAAGATGAAAAAGTTTTCACAGACTGTCAAGAAAAACTGCCAGAGTACCCTTAGAATAAATTGTTCGATTTCTCAAAAATGTCATTTTTCATGATTAAAGAAGGAGCATCAATTGCAGGTACCATGAAATTTGTCATTAGTCAATAAAGCTGGGACATAGACCCTAAAGATCGAATAGAGGCAAGTATTCAAACAGCTATTTCAGGATCCTTGTTCCATTTCATAAGTTAATCGAGACAGAAAAAAAGAATGATGACAAATTTTAAATCCTCCCAATTACGAATAAAATATTGATTAGGTGTGTAGGAAACATGAATACACTTTGTTCAAAGAAAATAAAATGTTTTTCTTAAAGGAAACCGAACAAAATTGGTAAATTTAACTCGATTTGGAACGGTCGGGATCGATTGACTATCCTGCAGCTGCCATATAAGTGACTGATCGGAAATCCCAAAACTTTGGTACTTTTTCAGTTAGAAGTATGGAAGTTTCAATGGATGCTATTTTTGGTCATCCAATCTTCTGAATTTTATAAAGATAGGTCATCAATACTTTATAGTATATAGTTTAACGATCGAAATTGCATTAATTTTTATGATAATACAGATACAAGCTTGAAAATTAGCCGCAAAATAAATTAACGATCGGAAATAATCGACTTTTTTAAATTTTAAATGACATTTGTAATTTATATGTACAATCTTAACTTTTTAACTGCAAGGGTATATAAACTTCGGCTCCGCTAAATTTTAGCTTTAACAAAAATTTAGTTTTTTTTTTAAACTAAATTATATAAAATAGGATCACATAAATATAAAATTATATTGCTTAATTGGCTGTTTTGTTTAAAAACACCAAGTCTAATTACTGGTATTATGGGGGACATTTTCTCCTGCGGAAACCATATAAAATCAAATTCTCATCCGAATCCCATTCAAAATAATATTTCACGATGGTGACTACTCAAGCCATAGTTTTCACCATCTTTTTCATTCTAAAATTGGTGAATAATTCTCTCCAAACGGTTTACGAATTGGCATTAGAAGAAGAAGAAGTTTTTTCAGAATGTCAAGAAAAGCTCCCAGAATACCTCAACATGGATCAAATGTTAGATTTTTCACACACCTCCTTTTCCATGAGTGAAGAAGGAGTATCAGTGGAAGGTAATATGACTTTTTGCTGGGACATAGATCCTAAAGATCGACTAGAGGTAAGTAGGAAACAGGGCTTTTGTTATTATGTGATTCATATAGGAATTTCAGGCTTCAACTTCAGTTTCCTACTTTGATCGTGGAAGTTGGCAAGCTACTGTTCTTAATATTAAATACAAGGATTTTTGCGTCTCCATGTTCGACCCCAAACAATTTTGGTACCAATTTTGGACGAAACATGTTCTAAATGCCGAGTATTTAATGAAAGTGTGTCCCCTTCCTGGAGTAAGTATCAAACAGACTGTTAAACTGAAAGTACCTCCTAAAGTATATTTTAAAACAGATAACATTTGTATTGGAACCGTATACACTGAATCTACGATTCGGGTTTGACGTGCCATTAAAACCAGGACGTTACAAGATTGTACTTCTCTTCTCGGCAATAGATGTCGACGGTAAAGTGCGTGATAAAAAAATTTGTGCAGAGATAAGAGGTTCCTTTATGAAATAATTTTCATTTTGGTTTTTCTTTTTCGAAGACAAGGGCGATGATGAATTGTAAATGATTTCAATTATTAATAAAACATGGACTAAGTTTGTACTAAAGCAGAATACATTTATTATAATTTATATTTATATTTATATATATTTATATATATATATATTTATAAATAAAAAATAGAATAAACATTTTTTTTGGGACCTAACCAAAAAATTATTTCTTTGGGACTTCCCTAAACGCCCCCATAATAACGGGCGGAGGGAAAGTTTATATACCTTATACACCAAAAATAGACCGCGTAAAAAATCCCATCTTTTTAACATGAAAAACCTAAAAGTCAAGGTCAAAAGTCAAAAGTCACACTGATAAATTTATATACATATAATTTTATATTTTGCGTGCAAAGTAAAGAAAAAGAATGTGTACAAAGTTTAAAGATGATAGGTTTAAAACTAAAAGATAACTTTAAAACTCGCATAGAAACAGACAGACGCAAATTTTATCGATTTAGAAGATGATCCTGATCAAAAATATATATACTTTATAGGGTCGGAGATGTCTTTCAATCAAGAATTTTTTCCTTTTCATTTTAATATGCCTTCTGACAAATATGAATCATAATAAGCATTTTATATTTAAATTTTAAAAACATATCTTATGAATTATTTGTGAACTCCCAGTCCATCACGGACACATAAGATCAGCTTTGGTTTTATTATTAATCGCCAAGTTCCAAGTTGTTTAATACCATAAATTGTACTCGTATAATAAAGATACTAATAATAAAGATTAATAATAATCAATTATTTTAAATTAACGAATAAAATTTTGTGTGAACTCAAATTTAAAACTTAAAACTTGCTACTTGTGTCGCATTTTCTATACTACCCCTTTTTTTAAGGTTTTGGGTATTTTTAGCTGTTTAGCATCTGAGCAATCTTAATTGGTTGTTTAGTTTCAAAACATTAAGTCTAATTACTATTATTATGGTTATTATTATGGATTACTATTATTAGAATCTCGCGACCAAATCGCATTTTAAATAAAATTTCACGATAAGCATTGGCTAATTTATGGTTTTGAAAACGCTATTGATTCTAAAGCTTGTGATTTATTTAGTGCAATGATGTACGGCTTGACATTAGAAGATGAAAAAGTTTTCTCAGAATGTCAAGAAAAACTGCCAGAGTACCTTAATAATTATTTGTTCGATTTGTCAAAAATGCCCTTTTCCACGAGTAAAGAAGAAGCATTAATTGCAGGTAACATGAAATGTGTCATTTTACAATAAATCAATTACCTATCCTGCAGCTCCCATATAACCGACAGTTATATGGAAGCTAAATAAATCAGATAAAATTATATCACATAAATATATATTTATATTGCTTAATTGGTTGTTTTGCTTAATAACACCAAGCCTAATTACTAGTATTATGGGAGACATTTTTTCTTGCTGAAAGCATATAAAATCCCATTCTCAACCAAAGCCATTTCTGAATAATATTTCACGATGGTAACTACTCAAGCCATAGTTTTTAACATTTTTTTTATTTTGAAATTTGTGAACCATTCTGTTCAAACGGTTTACGAATTGGCATTAGAAGATGAACGAGTTTTCTCAGAATGTCAAGAAAAGCTCCCAGAATACCTTAACATCGATAAATTGTTTGATTTGTCAAAGTGGACCACTACCATGAGTGAAGAAGGAGTATCAGTGGGAGGTAATATGACTTTTTGGTGGGACATAGATCCTAAAGATCGAATAGAGGTAAGTGGAAAAACGCTTTTGTTACTATGTGATTCATACAGGAATTTCAGGCTTCGTGTTCAGTTTCCTACTTTGATCGTGGAAGTTGGCAATCAACAGTTCTTAATATCAAATATAAGGATTTTTGCGTCTCCATGTTCGACCCCAAACAATTTTGGTACAAATTTTGGACTAAATATGTTGTAAATGCCGAATATGTTCAGAAAGTATGTCCCCTACCTGGAGTAAGTATTAAACAGACAGCTAAACTGAATCCACCACCTTATCTATATTTTAAACCAGACAACGCTAATAATGGACCCATATCTGTTGAATTTACAATTTGGCATTGACGCACCATTAAAACAAGGACGTTACAAGATAATAATTCTTATATCGGCGGTAGGTACAGACGGTAAGGCCCGTGACAAAAAAATTTGTACCGAGATAAGGGGTTTGATTTTAAAATAATTTTTGATTGGGACTACCTTATTTGAAGTCAAGAATGATGATGAAACCTTAACCAATTACAACCAATTATTTTCAAAATATGGATTACAATTTTATTGAAAAACAAAAAGCGTTTTATTTTAATAAATCTATGTTTATTTTCCATTTATTCTACATTGGTACACTGTTCTGCTGTGATTACTATTTTAGATTTTTGTTAAACAGAATACAAAAGCTTTTATCGCGTTTTCGACGATTCGGGAGTCCAATGAGAAAGTCCTTAAATGCGCTTTTCAAATCAGACTCGCAAAAGTCGCTGGGATTGCGGTTTGTTGGTGGTCATGGTCTATATATCTGGATGGTGAGCTTATTACCTACGATAAGCTGTAGAACAGAACTAGATTACCACATCGTTAACCTCTAAGTTGAACATCCTTTCCATCATTATCGTGCCCTGGATGTCTCATAAACTTCGAATAAATAATACGAACTAAGTATGGACTAAAATAGATTATGTGGGTTTTATCTAAGCTTCAGACTCCTGGGACCCATGCGGGGCACATTCCGGGGTCCGGCCTGGGCCTTTGGCAGCTCCGCTGACTTGCGAGCTCCATCTTCCTCGTCCTCATTTTCGTCCCCGAAGAGAAGAGCCGCTAGACTCGTTTCAAAGGTGGACTTCTTGCGTTGCGTTGGCTTCGGACTCTCGGCTGGTGAATTGGTGGTGCTGGTGAAAGCAGAGTCCTCAGATTTTGTTACCCCAGGTTGCTGAGTCGTAGAGGTTGTGGTGCTTGTGGAAGAAAAAGAGGACGTTGAGGTTGAACTGCTGGCTAGAAGCACTGGCTTTGTTGTGGTTCCCACAAGTGGCATTGCTTGTGGTTGGTCTTGAGCCGCATTCTTGGCGCCAGCAATCTCATCCTGCTCGATTTGCTCCACATGCTTGTATCCTGGTGGATAGATGGGCTTGAAACCACCCTGCAGTTGTGGCTGGAAACTATCCATGTCCGAATTCTTTTCCGCCGTTAATGCGCTGGCCGTGACCGACTCTTCGGCCACTTTCTTCTCCTCTGTTTCATCCAAATCGGCCCTATTTATTTTATTTTTCTCAAAGATTCCCTGATCTGTGGTGGAGGGAACTATGTTCCAGTTGCTTGGCGCTGCCGGATTCACTGCAGCAGCTCCACTGGCATCACCACCCAGACTCACACTCGGGTAAAACGGAGCCATAAAGTCCTTCTCAAAGTTTTGACCCCGAAGATCAAAGTCGCTGCTCAGTCCTTCTTCAGTTTGGGTATCCTGACGAATCTCATTAATAACTGACGTGGCGAGGTTGATATTGGAGAATTTCTGACCCTGATCGCGGCGGAAGACACTTGGTTCTGTGGGCGTGTAGGCAATAGCAATGGGCGTTTCTGTGCCAGATCCCATAGCTCCGGTGATGATCCTTGGTGCAACAAGTACCCCCGGCACAGCTGCCTGGGAACCGGGGTTGAGTTCCGTAAACGATGGATCGGGCTTCTCGATGGGATACGGGAACTTTTCTTTAGGAGGCAGTGGTTGGGCCTTGTTATGCTGCTGCAGAGATTGAGGCTTTTTGTTCTTCAGGATCGGTTCTTGCGGCTGATCACGAATCACGGAGAAAGGTGTGTTTTGGTATTCTGCTGGGGCAGAAGGTGCTTCTCCCTGCATCTGACCTTTTTCGGCTCCCTTCATTGGGAAAACAACATACAGTCTGCTGGGGTCCAATTTCTGCTGGCTTAGCTTTGAGGCCTCTGCTTCTTGAGGATCGTTGTCGGCCGTAACTTGGATCTCTCCAGCTCCGGTATCATCACCAGGCAGGCTAACTGCCTTCTTCTGTGACTGTAGCATCTGCAGTGTTACCACTGGCTCCAGTTTAGTGTCTTCTACGCCCGTACGATCTTTGGCCGGAGTCACTGGCTGTGGCGGATCGTTAATCACCAGATCCTCTTCCTCGAAATCTGCCGCAGCTTCGGGATCGATTGTTTTGTAGGGTTCTGCTGCCGCCGAAGGAGCATGGCGCTCTGCAAGGTAGCCATCAACGGATCTCAGCGGGCCAGGACCGTGGGGTCGCCTTGGGTACATTTGATCGGGATGGTAGGGCATGTTTTGGCCTCCGTAAGGGGGCAGTCTGTAAACTCTCCTGTTGACTTCGCCTCCTGGCCCAGGGCCGACCGGGTACTCCGAAATACGATTCATGGGATAGCGTTTGTGCAGCATCTGTTGCTGCGGCAATGGCTGGCGACGATGCGCAAAGTGCGGGGGCACAGATGGATTGTATGGACGTTGTGGCTGTTGCTGCTGTGGCAGTCTGATGTTTCCCGGCTCCTGCTTCAAGGCCGGTGGATGCCCGCTAGAGATCTTGGCATTTGGTCGAAACTGTGGCAGTATGTTTGGCAGGTTGTTGGGCCGCGGGCCGTTCTGGGGCTTGCGGTTAAACTCATTGTGGAATGGAGGAGGTGGGCCAAGCGGACGTTTTCCAGGAGTCGGAGGTGCATGCGGTCCTGCCAAGGTGGTCGGGTATCGTGGTGGTGGCTCCATATTCTGCGACGGCTGGTCACCATGACTTGGCTGCTGGGAAGGGAATTTCTAAAGATTTAAAATAGTGTATAATAAAATAATCGTCTAGCTATTGCAATGTATAGTCACTCACCAATGCTGGTTTTTGCTGGTTAAGATTTACCACCTCATGCTGCTGGATCTGCACATTGGCACCACCTGGTGCCACTTCGTCCTGTATCTTGGGGAAAACAACGGGGTTCGAGTTCTGAATCTGCTGCAAGCTGAGGGGTTGAGCGTGGCCATTGATGTGAGGTCCGGCTGGTGGGCCCGGCATTACCGCCGAAGAGGCTAGCTCCACTGACTCCTCACCCTGAGCCGGGAATCGGATGTTGGTGGATACGAGAAGTTCCTTGGTTTCATCGCCCTGAGGTTCTGCTGGAGGAGTAGGAGGTGCTTGCGGAGGCGTGGAAGATTGTGGGTAAGTCGGAGGGGTCTGTTCCTTAACAGGCTTAGCTTGTGGTTTCTTGGATGGTCGCTTGTTGGAACCAATCAACGGCAACTGCTGATACGGACTGGGAGCTTCTGGTGGTGGTTCTTGGTAAGAAGGAGCTGCTGCAGTTGGTAAATTTCCGTTTTGATGGAAATTTGAGTTCTGCTGCACATTTGGCATTTGCTGGAAGCTTGTCGGTGGTGCTGGTTCCTTTGCCGGTCGCTTGATGTTGCCAATGTCCTCGTTAATCACCTGACCATACTGCACTCCGGGCGTGTCCTTCGCAAAAAGCGGCTCCTTTTCCACACTTGGGTGTCCCACGCTCACCTGCTGCACTTGACTACCAAGGACAAACGATGCCGACTGCTGACCAGGTGAGATGACCACGTTATTGATTTGACCTGGCGCCGGTCGGTACTGCATCATATTTGGTTGCTGCACCTGGTAGGACACGTATTCGTTGCTGAAGTTCTCCTGGCTGCCAGAGATCACCTTCTGATCTTTAGGAATGGGACGCTGTGGCTGGGATACTTGACCTCCGGGCTGTTGCATGGCGAAGGGCGATGGCTTAGATGGAGCAATAGGTTCAATGAGGTTGCCCTGGGCGTCAAAGCCTTGATTCTGCTGATAATTGTGAGCCACATTGGACTCCTCTTCTGCCAGACTGTTGAAAATGTCACTAAGACTCATTGGGGGCTTGGAAGGTACAGGAATCTGCGGCTGATTAGGTGGCTGTGGTTGGAGTTGCTGCTGTTGGTGTTGCTGTTGCAAATACTGTTGCTGTTGCTCCACCAAATGCTGCTGCTGTTGTTGCTTTTCCAGTTGTTGCTGGTAGGGGTGTTTCTGCTTTTGCTGTTGCTGCTTTTCCAATTGCAACTGATATTGCTGCTGCTGGTATTGTTGCTCCTGATATTGCTGCTGTTGCTGGAGGTGCTGCTGCTTCTCCAGCTGTTGTTGCTGTTGCTCTTCGGCCTGCGTGTTCTTCTGCCCCAGTGTATGGTACACATCCGCTGGATCCAAGTTGGGGATACCAGTTCCGGGAATCGGACTGAAGGCAGGTGGAGGGGTCGGACCTTCTGTGAAAACCACAGGCGGACTCGTGCTCGAGGTTGTAAACATCTTAGTGGTGGTAGCTGGCTCTGTGGGGAATATCGGCGCCTGGGGTGTAGCGTGGTGGGTGGTCAAGGACACGTCATTGCTGCTAGGTGTCGGTCTTGGCGACGATTTTACCGGACGCTGATCCTCTTGGACAAATGGAGGCCTACTGGGCACTGTCGGTGAGTACTTCTTGGTGGGAACAAACTTTCTACGGGTGGTGCTGGTACGTGGGGGCTGTGGCGTGGTGGAAGCTGCTATCGGAATCGGTCTGCGCGAAGTAGTTGTATATTTGGCAGCTGGACTGGTGGCCTCTGTTGTTGTTGTGGTAGTGGGGCTAGGTCTCCTCGGCGGCAAAGTTCCTCGAGTGGTAGTTGCCGCGGCAGTGGTTGTAGTTGTCGTGGTAGAAGTGGAGCTAGTAGTGCTGCTGCTTGGATAGTAAGCCCCGGCAGTGGGAGTCACAGCAGTAAGTTTCGTAGTTGGGACCGTGAAATAGTTGGAGCTGTGATAGCTGGGCGGAGGCGGGGTGACTGGAGCCACAACCGAGGTCGGCTTCTTGTTTGTCATATAATTCTTGTTGCTGCCCTGATACTTAAGATTGGCATACGAGCTGGAAACCAGGGGATAGACGAACTTTGACGAGGAGTATTTAACTGGCAGGTTCAGGAAGTCATGAATATTGGGTGAACTGGCCCCACTCAGCACCACTTTCTCGTCAGGGTCCACTACTTCATTGACCTCTGGCTGAATTCCCGCTGGTTTCTTGGCGCTAAAGTCCAGCTGCCCTGATATGGGATCCTGACGAGCATAATAGGGCTTTCCCTCGTTGAAAATCTGATTGGGCAGTACGTAACTGGTGGAGATTACGTCTTCCTCGCCAGACACATCGGCGTTTCTGGCCTCCAGAGGCAGCAGGGCCGAAGGAGTCTCTGTGGTTGATTCTCCGCTAACCTTGGCTGTCCCACTCAGCAGGGCCACCAACAGCACCAAACCGATGCTGTAGCTGCCGCTCATTTTGATCGCCTGAAACGAAAAAAAGAGAAAGAAACGCTTTAATTTGAATCGTCGACTGACTAGACCTTCCGCCCAAACAGAAACCACTCTTGTTTTCAAAATCTCCACAAGGCCGCTGTCACTTCAAAAGCTTTGACAACGAACCGCTTCCACGTTTATGGTGCGAAAATTGCAGCCAGTTGCTGACCGAGATTGCTGATGTTTTCTGCCTGGTATCCGAATCCCGACACCAACAGAAAAATCAACAGCAACCACAGCAGCAGCAGCAGCAGCATCAGCAACTGCAATTTGTCAGCGGACCGAGCACCGTAGGTTGGTTTAATTGAGACATGACCGTGTCTGCTTCTGGGCGAGAAGTGTTTTGGCCAAAACAAAGAGCCAGTACTATTCGAATGCCGAGTGTGAATTGCGCCCGCGAATGTGTATTACTGGGCGAGATCGCTTTGATTTTCATAAAAAGCAGCTGCTGCAGCATCAGTTTAAGTTGAGGCCAGCAAGCAAATAAAAGGAAAAAGTGAAATTTTACCAAATGTGAGCAGCCAGTTTTTGCACCGAGTGGAAAACCCGTCTGGGAGTTGTTGCTCGTTGTGGTTGCCCATTGTGGTGGTTATGTCAAACAAGCCAAATGCCAACCGACAACCTAGCCTGACCAACAATCTTGCTGGCTATTGTCTAATGCTTTCCAATATTCTGCCGCCACAAAGAAATCCAAGTTCGAGTGGGCCCACTGTGCTTTCGATTTGAAGCTCTTCGTTTCGATTCGATTCGATACGATTCGGTTTGGCCAGGTCTTCTGCCGTGACAGAAATTCACTTTCAAAAACCCAATTCAACTTTCATTCAATCAAAATACATCGATAGTGTCACCCAGCCAAAATACCCAACGCTAATTATGACTGACTCACCAGCATCGGTAGAAAAAGCAACATCAATGTCAAAAACACTGCTCCAAAGTCAAGGAGCGAGCTAATCGCATCGGCCCGTCAATCAAGCGGGCCAGTAGAAATTTATTCAAAGAGCTGTGGCTGGCTGGGGGTATCTGAGTCGTTTTGGCCAACATGGTTCGTATACGAGCCGCAAGAATCTCAAATGAAAGTGCAATTGCGGCAATTGCCGTGGCTGGTTATTATTATGGTCTAGATTTCCTCTCGATTGCATGCTGCATGTGGCACGAGCAACCGAAACAATTGCGACTTTTATTTGCGGCTCGTTGTGTTACCAACTTTCATTCGAATTGTCAATGGATTGGCCAGTGTACCTTTTAATATTCTTGAAAGCCAGACAAAGTGTTATGCAAATTCTTGGCTCAATTTGGCAAGCAATTCATAAAGCCAACAAACTAGAACCTGTATCAGTAGACTGGCTAACTGGGTAATTGGGTCACAATTTAGGAACTTGTTTACTTTTTCCATCATTTTTTAATGTCCACGTCTTACACAGACAAATACCCAACTGGCCCGACAACACGTTCGCTTTTATCAGTATGCTAATAAAAAAGATCAACCTGCCAGAAGAGAAGCCGAAGAAGAATCTGAGACAGTAGTAGCTGTTAAAGAATCTACTCCGGAGCGTCCTGATTGCAGATGCCCGCATGGCAAATAAAAACCTGTCATTCGTTTCGTCGAACGTTTAATAGCACGCGCTGGCCTCCATGTGTGCGGCAAACGAAAGACTTAAGACACAAACTTCTTGTCTTGTCTTGTTGACAAGCCGTTGAAAACGCGAACGTGCTTTTCATTGCACATCGCAGCCATTCCATGCAGATCAGATTAGCCACGGTTGATTGCCACTTTCCATTATGAATGTCGCCAAAGGAATTTCTGGGCGGCCACCACCACCGCCACTGGCGAAGGCAACATTTTCATTTTCATAATTTACGCATCTGGGTCACTGTGCTAATTGTTTGTAATTATTATTCAATATACGAGGCGCGGAGGCTTTCTTGTCGTGTAGAAAGTGCTAATTTAATTAAATTTAAATACAAAAACGAGTTATAGTCTGTTGCCTTGGTGGCACGCCGAGATATTCAGGGTTCATTGAACCGCTTCGGCAACGCCAACTGACCCAGTTCCTTTCAAAGGAAGTCTTCAGAGGATTATTGGGTTATCACTTCCTTGTCACCTTTTACTTTCACATTACACAATTGGCCGTGGTTGAAGATTAACTCATTTCGCCCGCAGTTCCCACAATTATAATGGCAAAGCTCATAAACACCATAACTTTCCTCAATCCCGCCCGCTGCGAGGTGTCACTCTTAAAAGAAAAGAAGACACCCCGAAAAAGTCGCACGTCTATTACGGACCACAGCAATTAGGTGTAATTTTTAATGGCACAGAAATAGTAGCAATCAAAAGCGTGGTAAACATAATTACAACTACAAAACGAAACACATAATAACGAAAATACTTAAATACTTAATTCCCCCCCGGGGCCATTGTTGACAAAGAGCGGTAGTATAGCCAGCAGCAGGGTCATTAGACAAAGTTCGGAGACCAGACCTCTAGACTGGGCTCTAAACTGTCTCTGGCAAGCTGATTTACCAGGGCGAAGATCGGCGAGGGGTCCAGCGCTTTCCTACGTTTCTTATATTTCTTTCAATGGCATGGCCAGCAGCCGCAGCAGCTGCAACTTTCACTTTTGGCAGCCAAAAATTTCTCGCTCAGCTTCTGAGTGGTGCTGCGCGATGTGGTGCGGCGCCAGAGAGAATTATTTATGGCTTAACGAATTTATGCCTCAACTTTAACCGCAAGCGAAAGAAACGCACAAGCGGCAAAGTAGCCAAACCAGAACGGTAGGACGCAAAATAAAAATAATTAAAATCAGTGAAATTTTTGGTTGTATGTGAGGCAACTTGTTGTAATCCACAAATACCTTCTTGCAGTCGCTGTCGAAGAGTTGCCAGCCGACCGGCGGTCTGGCTCACGTTTTTTGTTTATTTCTTCTGTGAATCAGCCAGGCCGGACCAAGCCAAGAGACCAGACCCCATCCGGGGTACAAAAACTGAAAACCAACAACGGCTGCCGCGGGAGAAGCGGGCAGAAACAGAAACCCGTGTACGTAGCTGACCCCGTTAACGATCATTGGACAAACAGTCAATGGCGAGTACGATGGAATGTGGACGAAGGCTGGTCTTCGTTGAGGAAACCCTATGTTTTTGGCATCCCACTCTCGCCAAGATATTCGAATGCAACAACAAAAATGTGCATATATTTTCGGGATTAGGGTTTTCTTTTATGAGAGCTATTATGCATTTAAATGGACTTTTAAAAACTTCAAAAAATTTGTTTTAGAAATCATTCATAAAGCTACATTCATTTAGATGACCCCAAGCCTTTTTATTCCATGACCACCTGGAATTAGTCATTGGAATTAATTTGCATTTCTTTCTGGCGAAAAACGAAAATGCGAGACAAATTTCACTTTTTAAGGTGCGTAATCGCTCTTGGCCACACACTCACTCACAAATCCCGGGGCTGATCTCCGCGGCGTGGTATTTACGAATAGTGCCAAGTGCACACACCTTGGCTACAGCCCCGTGAGTCATTTGAGTGGTGCAATCTCGAGTGATTTCGAGCGAATTCCCAAAACACCCATGGCCAAGGAAATCCGTGAGCCATGGCTTAAATCGGATTTCCGCTCTCTCGCCGTCGAAGAAAGAAAGTGACGCCCACATGCTAAATGGTGATTAGCATATAGAAATGCATAACCCCATTGGCCAAATCAGGCGGAATTCTTTTGCCCACAAAATAAACAAAATAAAAACGAATAACGACGAATAACTAAAAACTGAAAATCAATAAACCAAAATAGCTAGCGACCGCGTCTATGAATTGGCAACGAAAGTCAAGGCAACGTGCCTCAAATCTTAATTATAATACGCATTCGCAGGTTCTTCAAAGAGAAATGGTGAAATTTGAGCTTGCCTCCGCGCCAGAGTGTGAAGTTCAAGCCAAGAGCACTTCAAATGCCACACACACAATCTCGGAAACTTGAATTTGTTGCTATTATATTGGATTTAATGAAGTCGACGCCAGACGAAATTTACAACAACTTATGGCACCGCACGAGGAAATTATGCGCAGCACACATGAGCAAGCGATATAAATTTTACAATGGAAATGCTATTATTAAATTACTGTCCGAACAATCAAATGGAAACTGGCGGCGCTGTTCAAGTGCTGATTTAAAGAAAAAGCGTACACACCAGCGTTGAGTGACAGCCATGGCGATGGAGCTAAACGCCGCAAAAGTGCAGGTGCATAGAAATTTAAAAATTTCATTTTAAAATATTATAATTTGCAGTTGGGGCTAAATGAATAATTTGAAAATATTTCAAAGATAATTCTCCGAGTGTAGCAGCACGAGTCTGTAGGCTCAAATAAAAAGGAAAGTGCCGAGGATAGCTGGCTAAAAAGACAAATTCAGCGAGCCGCGATAGCACAGATAACCGGGCGATGATTGACTATGTTCGGGGCTGCATGTAGCCCATTTGCAGAGCAGAATCACCTCACGTCTCCGGGCCTGGGAAGCCAATAAATCTTTCAAGGCTGTCAGTTCGTTTTTGGTGGTAGAGTGTGACTTCCTCGGCAAGGAAGAAAATGCCTTATTCGGCCAGATCTTGAACGGGGGAACGCTCATAGGTAATTCGGTTTAGGCCTGCTCCCTCTTCCAGCTCTTTTATGGTCACTTGGCTTTTTGGCTCAGTCGGCTGGTTAATGGAATAGCAATCGCAATATAAATTGCTATTGCAACTGCGCCCGCGCGTGCCATCAAGTAAATGGGTTGGCTCCAAGTTCTGTTTCTCTTTCTGATTCTGAGTCCGCTTATAGCCAACAATATAGTACGATTCTGGTCCGTCGGCCGGCTTGCCAATTTAGGCCGCTGCCGATGACTATAAATCAGGCGGATGACTCCTTTTGGGAACGCTGTTCCGACCTTTTGTGAAAGTAATAAATTAACTAACGGTTGCCCGCCAATTGATCTCGTTATCTCCTCGTCTGTGTATTGAATAATCCGCCGCGGGAGCCCAGTGCATAATAACCAAGATCGTAGCCAACACGCAACCAATCGCGGATCTCATTCGAATTCATTACCAGAATTTCATTTACAGTACTTTACATAACGCCAATGATGGTCAATGAACCTAGCCACATTTTGGTTAGCGAAAAGCGGAATTTCGTAGACATTTTAGCGTCAATTACCAAATAGGTCAAGCGAATTTGACGACTTGAAAGTAAGTCAGCCAGATGCGGACAAAAATAAAAGGTATTTCTTGTGACCAGCAGTTGCTTATTACACATAATTGTTCTACTGAAAGCTGAGCAAGTTTTTGCGTCAAGTGCCATTTTGCAGATGTGCAAGGGTGGCCGACGGCAAAAAAAAAAAACAGACGCAGCGAGTGAAGAAGTCTCGAACAAAAGACTTAGGGCACAAACTCGAGTGGGTTGTTGGGCTTGCCCTGATTTCCAGCCGGTGACCAGCAGCTGCAGTTGGCTGGGTCGTCTTCCCCGTTTTTGTCGAGTGCAGCATGCTAATTAGCTGTAACCGTAATGGCCGACATGCATTCCTAACCGCTTAACCCACAAACCTCACCCGTAAAACGGTTGATATCCTTGTTCAAATATTCCACAAATAAACTGTTTGTTTTCAATTCTTTTGTTTAAATAATAAAGTTCACAGAGCCACAAAACACACACGGAGAGAAAGGTACTGAGACTACACACAAATTACCGTTTTTGCGATTTCCGTTGCCGATGCCGTACGAAATTCGATTCAATTTTCCAAACACGTCTCGCACTTTTCTTTTCTCTCAGGTTCAATAATGCTTTTCAGCCTATAGCATTTGCATTTCTCTCGCGGAAGAATTCTCCAAAGAAGCTCACGACGTCGCGTCCGTTGCCTTCGACGGCCTGGCACTGAATGAAGTTGCTCGGCGACAAAAGAAATTTTTATTAAAAAGAAAGCATGGCCAGAGACAGCGACATCAGCAGCAGCCGCAGAAGAAACGGGTATCAGCGGTTGGAAACGGTTAACAGAGCCGCCGGTAACTGCCAGGTAACAGGTGGTGGAAATTCAAAAAGCCGAGCTACTGCAGTGGAACTTTTTAATTGTCGAATGCAATCCGGACATTTATGAGCCGCTTCCGAATTATCTATGCTGTGAGCATTATAAAACAGATAACGGCTTTAGTCCCATTGCCCAAATCTATTTTAACCATCATACACTGAAATACCTGCCAATCCGAAACAAACATAGATACGCAGAACTTTTAAACGCCACAGCAAGCCATTGAGGTCTCAAATGAAAGCTGACCAAGCCGAGAAATAAAGTCAAAAGAAAACGCTTTTTATTTAGAAAATCGCTCAATTAAGCCCTAATATCTTATATAAAATCAAATTTAATGCGAAAAAAGCAGGTGCCTAATGACTTTAAGCACATATTTAACTGGCTGATGTTACGTGCAGTTGAGGAAAGAAGGCGCTGCCGAACCGGCCAAACAAAAATATTTTGGTGGCTCAGAAGAAACGCCACCAAACTTCCAAGCAGCAGGCAGTGAAAGCGGAAGCACTTATTATTCTCTCTATTTTGCACCACAGAAAAAAGCGATGGACAAAACGATGGAACGACAACAGCAATCAAAGCAATACTTGTAATTACTTCATTCACCAAACGCAACCGGAATCGGATCAGGGCCACAAAGTTTTTAAGCGGTGGCGAATAAAAATTGGGCATTAAATAAGCAGTGGAAAGCTGTTGGGTATCGCTTGTAGACTCAACAACTCCTGGCCAATGTTTACTCGTCCGATTTGCTGATTTGTTATATAACGAAATTGTAATATCAGCTTCAAAGAGTTTCTATAATTATATATATCTCCCGTTGAGGTAGTTTGATTCGGTCTTGAAAGCCCAAATGTTTACAAGTTGTAATGCACAAATAAAAATACGAATAGGTTCTAGGCGTCTATATAATTTGAACTTTCTGTCGATAAAGGCTGGATGACTTGACCAAATGGCTTTACACTTTTGCCTTAAAATAAAGAAGCCTATGTCTTATCAATACCTTTGAAATTCTGTGATTCAACCATTTCCTATCATTATTATTACATTACTTATGAACGTAATTAAATCAGAGCACTCTATAAAACTTAATAAATAAATAAATTTATTCTGTGCTCAACTTTATATAGAAACTAAGTCCTGCGTACAATCCAAATTTGAATCCGATCCGTTTGATTTGTTTGTTTACTGCTGGGAAGTAACCAGTCACTAGAGTATGCTCACTCCTCATAAGGGGAGGTGTGGTCTACCGGATCTTATCGCACCTGGTTAAAAGGGTTGTCGGGTGATTTGTTCCACTCTTTCATTAGGAGTTGCTTCCATTGGGACATGCGGAGCGATGGGTTCTCGGCCTTAATGCGGGGTAGATTGTTAGACTCGAAAGTCTTGTAGGCGGCACGCATCCTCTTTTCTGGATGCTGGTCCTCTCCCTCATTGATACTGGTAAGAAAAATATAATAAGTATTGATTGAACAATATTACAGAAGCTGCCCACTCACTTTAGCACCACCAAAGCCTGGTCAATGTTTGTGGCCACATCGGTATCGGCCAAGGAACGGTTGAGGTTCTCCTCAACGACTGTGCTTTGGACCACTACTCGTGTCGCCGCCGGTTTGTTGGCTTCGTTGATGGCGTCGATTACACGTTGCTTCTTCTCCATTTCCTCGAGGATTTGCTGGCGGTTTATCTTGGCAAGTGGCTGTTTGCGCTGGGTGTTGATGGAGCTCATTTCCTGGTCAAGCAGAGCTTTGGACTCAGCCTTCCGCCTGAGGGCTTCCGCCTTCTTGCGCTCCTCCTCTTCCTTTCGCTGTTGCTTTTTGGCCAAGTTTTTGTCATCGTCTTTCCATAATCGGTCCTCCGCCTCCCGGGCTTTCTTCTCCTGCGTCGCCTTCTTCGTTGCATCCTTCCTCTCTCGGGCCTCCACGGCCTTCGAGTTGATTCCCATTTTCTTCGGCATATTGTCGTAAAATTGAAGGCTTTGAAGGAAAACAAACTCAATTTGGTTCTGCAAGGAAGGATGGTAAATATGTGAAACACACGAAAATAGAAATTTCAATAAGGACAGTTCCATACCTCGCGTTAAAACGGAAGAAATATTTGTTTTCGACGGGCGCTGCAGAAAAATTCTCTGTCGTCAAAAATCAAGGAACAGGCTCAACCCTGGCAACCCTGACAGCTCAACAGCTGACTACTGGTAATTATGTGTGCCCAGCTAGAGAAAACTACCAAAGCGTCTCTTTAAAAATACCAGTTAATACTAGACTGAAACTACGCCATCCCTGGAAATTTATTTATTGTTTACAAATTGAGAAATATTTACAAATACCGCGTAATGGATATTCTCAAGGCAGAAATAGCTCGCAAGCGAAAGCTTCTCGAGCAAAAGCAGCTGGTGGACGATAAAAAAAAGTATTTTAGGCGCGGCGATCTCAACGCTAAGGACACAGAAGAAGTTCTGCAAAAAGTGGGCTACAAGAAGCAAGAATCTGTGGAGGCAAAGGGCCAAACAAGCGAGGGCGCCTACAGCTTTGTAGCCGATGGCCAAAACATCCTGCCCCGCACGGAAGTTATCCGACGACTCAGGGAACGAGGCGAACCCATTCTCATATTCGGAGAAACAGAGCCAGAAGCCTTCGAGAGGTTGCGCCAGTGCGAGATCTCCCAGCCGGAGGCAAACAGAGGGTTCAGGAACGACTTCCAAGAGGCCATGGAACAGGTCGATGCCGCCTATCTGCAGGAGATGTTTGCCAATACACCAACCGCCAAGGAAGATAAAAAGTCGGACTTCGCAGAGTTGGACGAGACTGTTTCGTGGGAAAGCATCCAGACAATGGCTCAAAAGATGGGTCGCAACAAGGATTACGACATGGATGTAATCATCACACTTCTGACATTTTTGCTGAAACTGTGGAACGACCAAATAGCCAACTACAGCAAACACGAAAAAATGTCCACCAAAGTGAAAATGACGCGCGTCATTTACACGCAGACAAAGGAGTATGTGAAACCTCTCTTCCGCAAGCTGAAGCACCACACCTTGCCCGAGGACATCCTGGACAGTCTGCGAGATATCTGCAAACACCTGCTCAACCGTAACTACATCACGGCAAGTGATGCCTATCTGGAGATGGCAATAGGCAACGCTCCGTGGCCTATTGGTGTCACCATGGTGGGTATTCACGCTCGTACGGGTCGCGAAAAGATCTTCTCCAAAAACGTGGCCCACGTTATGAATGACGAGACTCAGCGCAAATATATCCAAGGCCTCAAGCGACTGATGACCAAATGCCAAGAGTACTTCCCAACGGATCCCTCCAAGTGCGTGGAATATGTCAGCAAGAAAGATCGCGAATAGACTTCATTTGTAAATTATTTTTAATTTTAATATCAACACCGTATTTGTAATATCAACACCAGAGAGCAAAAGTTGGGTATCAGACACAAAACATAGACTTATTTCTTTCCTAGTTCAGCCGACCGCTGCGAGGACTTTTCCACGGCGTTTATGAGCGTGGACCTAAAATTAAAACAAGTTTTATGTTACTCATAGATCCTTTAACATTAATATTTTGTAAATAAATCTGTTGATTCCAAGAACACATACCTTAGGTTTCCCTTTTCCAGCTCGTGAACTCCCACAATGGTAGCACCGCCAGGAGAGCAAACTTCATCGCGTAGCACCGCCGGATGCTTGCCAGTGAGCAGCACAGTCTTGGCTGCTCCCAGCAATGTTTGGGCAGCGAACTGGATGGCCATTTGACGGGGAACACCCTGCTTGACGCCTCCGTCTGCCAGAGCTTCAATAATGGTATAAACAAAGGCTGGACCACATCCCGCTACACCTGTGCAGGCGTCAATCATCGTCTCTGGAACTTGCTGGGCGAGACCAAGGGCGTTGAGCATGAGGTGTACTTTCTCCAGATCATGGTGCGACACTCGCGAGTTGCCTGTATAGACTGTGCAGCCTTCGCCCACCTGCATGGATGTGTTGGGCATGGTACGGATTATTTTCAGACCAGAGTTCTCCATGAAGCCAAACTTCTCCTCCAAAGTTTGAAGACTGGTACCGGCCAACACGGAGACAATGAGCTTATTGGCATCTTTGGCCGAGGGAACATGCTTGAGCTTGAGCTGGCTGGTGCATGGACCGAGCATATGGGGCTTCACACAAATAAAGACAATGTCTGTGTGCTCCAATACTTCGCAATTATCATCACTGGTGGTGGCTCCCAGGTCCCGCCAGCGCTGAAGATTCTCGATGTGCGGTCCAGATGCCAGCACTTGGCTGGGCTTAACAATCCCACAACGCACTAGCCCGGATCCAATGGCAAATGCCATGTTTCCGCCTCCGATGAAGCCGATTCTTTCGTCCAGCTTGGCCATGTTTGAAATATTAAAGTTTTTTGGGAAGGGGACCTTTCAGCGCTTCTTAACTGTACTTTTGACGATTATAAACAACGATTGATTGTTAGATAACTTGGAATCCACGAGTACCAATTGTATGGTCAATATTTGCGTGAAGCTGGATTAGAGGAGCGATTTTTATCGCTCCTCTAATCAATAACAGCTGTCACATGCATGGGCGTTACAGAAAACACTTCAGAACTTTAAGGGGGTATCGATAAATATTATTTTTCATTACCAATACATTTATAATTCAATAAGAATTCAATAATTCAATAAGAATTTTATATGGAATACCTCCATATAAAAATAGACTCCGGAATTTCAATGGTATCGTCTATTAAGACCTAATTAATAAAAAAGTGGAAGCTTTCAAGCCACTTGGGTAAATAACGCATTTAATCTATTTTTTCTGTAATTTTTTATTCATAATTTTAAATAAATTAAGCTTCAAGTTCCATGCACCGCCCCTGGAACTGTATGTGGCCGTATATATCGTTGCGAACTCGAAAAAATACCAAATATACTGAGAACTTCTTGCAACTTGAATTTATTTGTTATGAATTCTTTCACTGGTTGATGTCTCCCAAGATTGAGCCAATATACTTGTATCCAAGGCTCCTTTAATTCCAAATAATGCGGCGCCACCTGCAGTGGAACATTAAACAGGTGGGTTTGTTCATCATTCCCTAAATCACCTCTTAAAATTAAATTATATTGAAGTTAACGGCCAGCTATGCTGATGGACAGCTCTCGCCTCGCCGGTTGACGGAACAGGCTCTGGAAGATGCTAAAAATCTAAAAACCTTGAATGCTTTTGTGCGTCTCACCCCTGAGAAGGCGCTTCAACAAGCAGAAGACTCCCTGAAGCGCTATCAGAGCAAGAAACCCAAAGGAATCCTAGATGGAGTCACGATCGCTATTAAGGATAACTTTTGCACTGAAGGCATCCCTACTACCTGCGCTTCCAAGTAAACAAGTAAAAAAAAAAATATTCCGGGCTGAGTATTGAGTCCGCTCATTTCCAGGATGCTGCAGGACTTTGTGCCCCCGTATGACGCAACCGTGTGTTCCCGCCTGAAAAAAGCCGGAGCCGTGCTCCTGGGAAAGACCAATATGGATCAGTTTGCCATGGGTGCCGGCACTGTGGATTCCTTGTACGGTCCCACCAAAAACATCTGGAGCGAGGATCTGGAAGAAGACCGTTGGCGCATCGCGGGTGGCAGTTCAGGCGGATCTGCCTCAGCTGTTGCTGCTGGAATTTGTTATGCGTGAGTATCCAAAAGGTTGTTTACGTTTTCAGTCCTAACCTCAAATGCGACAAGGAGGAAAAATCGTATATTTTCTTTAAAATGCGCAGCTACGTTTGATTAGGAGAATTGTTCCACTCGGAGGCTTGCAGTTTTATTAACAGAATGTTTGCACGGCACCGATGCAGGCCACCAGCCGCACTCATATTACATAACAGACTAAGGATAGAGCACTAAATGTTTAGATGATGATTTCCTGGTCTCCAAGATCCTCATCGGAGGGCAGCGAGATGCTGGCAGGGTCCACGTAGTCGGGGCTAACCAAATCGAGGCCGGCCTGCTCACGACGGCGCAACTCCAGGAAGCCCTCGCGCTGGGCCCAGTCGCGGAACTGCGTGTCGGGAAGGTAGGCCCAGTAGAAAGTACCCCACACCAAGCACAGTGTTACGGTGACAAAGAATGTCGACTTGGTGGCCTTGCGATCCTCAGCCTGTTCCTTGTAGTCAAATCCGTAGCTCTGCCAGTTCTTGGGGCTGGGGTTTGCAAAATCCTCCGTCGTAACCGAAGTGGGAGCAGCAACCGTCTCATCCTTCTTCTGGGATGTGTTAATGGCTCGAACAGCGGCCGCCTGCCTGGCCACCAGGGATCGCTGCATAGCCACAGCGCGGCTGGTCAGACGAAAGAGCGCAGACATCGCTTAGGCTCTAATAAGTTCGTAATTTTCGTAAATAATCAAGTTTTTCTCTGATTACTTGACTTCTGACAGCTGCGCAGAGAGACCGTTTCACATAAATTGTCAGCGGCTCGGAAGTGCTGCCCATCAAAGTAATTCTACAGTTGGTATTTTTTAGATTTTTTTTTAAAAACGTTAAGCCTAGTACTGAGTTGACGAAAATCCGCTCTTGAAATTCCGCTTGCGAAATTGCACTTTATTCGGCTGCCGAGGTAGTGTGACCAAAACAATGAAGAAATAAGGTAATACTGAACAGCTGTTGTTTGTAAACAAAAAACAAATAAGCAAAAATGAATTCAAAACGATTGGATGTTGGTGTTTTGTTTATGTATTTCGCCGCTCAGGAGCTGATTAAGAAATAGAAAACTGGGTCAAAATCAAAATCCAAATCAATCACAAATCATTTCAATGCCATTTTATGGCATTAAAATGCCCCTTCGGGACGGCCAAATAAATCTTCCCCAATTTCCTGGATGAAAGTAACTTAATACAAAAAAAAAAAATGCCCCTTGTGGGTCAAATCTCATATTATGGGCTTCGTCTTGACCGCAGAAATTCATTTTAATTTGTCCTGGCGCGTCGAAAATGTTTCGGGCCGACTATTTTTTTGTTTGGTCAATTGACCCTCCATGTCACACCTATAAAAATAAATTGAAATATTTATTTTAACACCCCGAGAGCAGCTGTTTATTTTTTTTGATCCGGCAACACCATTAAAATCGATAACAAAAATTTTCGTCAACTCAGTACCCGCAAAATCCAGAAGGCAAAAATTTCTTCTTCTTTCCTTTTTTACACCGTTTTTTTTATATGGAGTTTGACAGCTGTCACTCGTTGGACAGCGGATTTTCGTCAACTCAGTACTAGGCTTTAATTTAAAAAAACAATGTTTATTTAGTAATAACTAATTAGTATAAGAATAAAAAAGAAAAATGAATTTTATTGGAAACCAAATGTTTGCAAATTTCATAATGAAATATAAGAGTACCCTATTATATTTAAAAAGTATATATATTTTAACAATTTTATCAATAAAATTTTTCATAAATATTTTTAATTTTCTTTCGTTTTCTAGGGCGATTGGATCGGACACTGGTGGCTCCACCCGCAATCCAGCCTCTTACTGCGGCGTGGTAGGCTTGAAGCCAACCTATGGCCTGGTCTCCCGACATGGTCTTATACCGCTAGTAAACTCCATGGATGTGCCCGGTATTTTCGCCCGATCTGTTAGTGACTGCGTCGATGTCCTAAATACTGTGGCTGGTCCGGATACACTGGACTCGACGACTATTAGAAAACCCTATGAACATCTTAGTCTTCCAGAGATTGAAAATATTGACCTATCCACGGTACGGATAGGAATTCCAAAGGAATATCACTGCGAAGGCCTCTCCTCCGAAGTGTTGGAGACATGGTCCAAAGTTGCGGATCTATTGGAGTGCGCCGGAGCCTCGGTGCGGCAGGTCTCTTTGCCAAACACAGCAGCCAGTATATTCGTTTATTCTATTTTGAATCAGTGCGAGGTGGCTAGTAACATGGCTCGTTACGATGGAATCGAGTACGGGCACCGAGCTACCGACGAGCGCAGCACTGAGCAGCTGTATGCCCAATCCCGAGCCGAAGGGTTCAACGACGTGGTCAAGACACGCATCCTGACAGGCAACTTTTTTTTGTTGCGAAAGAACTATGACCTCTACTTTGAGAAAGCCTTGCGGGTGCGACGCCTTATTGCTGAGGATTTCGCCAAGGTTTTCGAGGCCTCCCAAGAAGAAGACCGAGTGGATATCCTACTCACGCCGACAACTCTTACCGACGCCCCGCTGTACAAGGACTTTGTCGGCCTTACCAATAGGGACCAGTGCGCTGTTCAAGACTTTTGTACCCAACCTGCCAACATGGCGGGTATCCCTGCAGTCTCCATACCCATTCGCTTATCAAAGTCCGGCCTTCCTCTGAGTCTGCAGCTGATGAGCAAAAGCTTGAACGAGAAGTTGCTTCTCACTGTAGCTCGATGGATTGAGGCTCAGGTGGATTTTGACAGCCTGCAGCACATACCACACCTCAAGTCCACTTTATAAATGAAACTGCGTTCTAAGAAACAGTTTTTATAGAAACATTAAATAAATTTTTAAAAAATAATTAAATAAACTTTGCTGCGCGAATGAAGCCATCGCTACTTGCAATGTACACCATATTATTTTCCCCACAACAAACACTGTTAACGCAGCTCCCAACATCCACTTCTCCAAGAGATCTTGGTTGTGTCGCATCAAGATCGGTCCAACCCTTGAGCTTTTTGTCGTAGCCACCGGAGTACAAGTATTTCTCATCCCCGCAAATGGCGTTCACGATCCATTCGTGGCAGTTCTGCAGAAGGTAGTGGGAAATATTTATTCAGATTTCAATCCAAGAAAGAAGACTACTTACCGGTAGGTGCCAGATATGGGCAAATTGTTGTTGTGGGAGATTGTTAACCAGTTGAAGACCCATTCCAGATCTATCTGGAAAGGCGAGGAAACTGCGCTTGCCCTCCACAAGCGGGCCGAGCAGCAGAAGCGGAGACTTACCCGGGAGAACTGCTTTGTTACTATACTTTCCCGATTTTCCTTCAACTACGAGGGAAACCACTACGTCTAGATCGCGAACCGTATAGATGAGCTTCTGCTCCCCGGCCAACGACTTGACCTCCTCCACCAGGCTGTATTTGAAGAGCATACGGTCATTGCTCCATGTGGTCACCACTCCCTTATCATCGCCGGTGTAGAGCACTGATCCGTCGCAATACATGGCCTGGATCGCATCATCGCAGCGGAAGAGCTCCTGAACGGCGGAGTCTTCATACGGAGGAAGCATGAAGTGCACCTGACCATCGCAACTGCTCGAGTAGATCTTCCCATGCTGGTTTACGGCCATGCAGTAGATGTACGACTCATGGGCGTTCACTGTTGATATAAGTTCTAGTTGGGGAGACCAGATCTGCCAAATTGCATCCAAAATTTATCATCTTTTAGTGTAAAGATGCTGCTTATTGATACCCACTCGGATCTTCCCGTCAGCACCACCGGAGAACAGCTGGCCGCCGAAATACGCTACGCATGTGGCATCCCCCTCGTGCCCCTCAGTGGACGTGTGTTCGATTCGGGCGTTGTTGGCCATTGGGCGGATGGGAGCGAACTGAGGGCATCCCATCCTCACCATCCCTGTATATATGGCACGGAAGAACTACTCTCTGCACAGATATAAATAACCACAGTGTGTCCAAAAAGATATCTCCCAATCTTTGTTCTTAAACCAATTCTTAAGGAAGATACTTAAGATACTCCTGTTTAGATTGTCCAAAACGACATTATTGATTAAGTTTCTAATCCTTCCCTGGAAGCCGTGGAAATCGATTTTCGTACATGACTTTTATTGTTTTTCAGTCTTCCACTAACGTATAAATTGTTATATTGGATAGCGCTGTGAAAGTATTCAGTTATCGTCCCATATGTCTATATTTATTATTTTGGAAATACTATTCAAGCATGATGGAAAGGAAAGTTCCGACCAATCTCTTACAAATATCGGTATTATATATTAAGAGATGCTGGCAATTTCGTCAATGAATAAATGATGGATTGGTTACTTTAATTATATTATACATACATAAGTCGTGTACACTTTAGATTCAAATAAGTTGTATAAATTGTTACAGTGCAACTACAAGGAATGGCTGAAGCAGACTCCTTGGTGTTTATAAATGTTGTATATATCGGCAAAATCGATCATTAATTTGTTTATGAACTGTTCAATGTGAGCGTCAATAGATTTATATAAATATTGTAATAAATAATTACGTAAAAATGTTATCATATTTTAATCATTAATCCTATTTCCCACATGTTCTTTTATATATGTTCTTCATGATTTGGGGATCTATCTTGTACACGCAATTGTTAAAAAATCTAAAAATTATAATTTAACGTCTATAAGCAATTCAACGGATTGTGGGAGTCCATTCAATATCATTTAAAAAAGATTTCTACCGCAGCTCATTAAATTTATGAATAATCATTGCTTCGCATTTTATCCTTGTCGGTGTCCTGCAAGAAGTATATTATTTTCTTTAAATGTTTTTCAATATTATTGGAATATACTTACTCTTGGCAAGTCCTTGGATGTGGACAAGCCCGCTCTAAAGCGCACATCGTTTTTTATTTGTTCAGTGCTGAAATCCCGGTCCCGGGGTTTTAATCGACTCTTGTTTGTGTTGTTTTGATATTCGTTTTTCCTGTTATTGGAGCCGTAGTGAGCCCCAAAGTCATTTTCTCTGTCTCTGTCGAAATCCCCGCCTTCTCTGTCCTTAAACTGATAGTCGCCGCCCTGCTTCTGGCCGTCAAAGCCGCGACGATACTCGCCGTAATTGCCCCTGTGAACTGGATTCCGGAAACCTGCTCCGCCAGCATTAAAGTGCTTTTGTGACATGCTACCACCTCGGCCGTCCCGGTCTCTCTCCTTGTCATCTGTGTGACGATTGAAACTGCGTATTGGGGGGGCTTGAGATTGGGCATTACCCTCGGATACGTGCATTGGCGGACGCTTCGAGGAGACCTCCTCTTCCTGCTTTCGTTCGTAGTGGAAGAAGTCATCGAATATGGACGTTGAGTGGTTGTACGAGTGCAAGATCTGCAGCACCTCGATGCCCTTATCGTTAGGGACTTCCTGGGTGTCTCGCGAGTTCGTCACCGACTTATTGTCATTGTTTTCGAGGCGAATGTGCCGCAGTTTTCCGTTCGGCACATCTTTCACGTATATCCACTTTACCTTGAACTTGCCTCTCCACTTGTCCTGTGACCACACGCTGGACGTCGAGTTGTAGTCCACGGCGGTCATCATTTGTGCCATGCCGCAAAAGTGGCCGGAGCCGTTCACCGAGAAGAACAGCATTATGTTTCCGCCCTCTTTGTGCCGCTCCTTGAACGCATCGTCCAATCTCTTGTTGCCGTGATCGGTTGAGCACCAAATCTCATACTTTATACTGCGGTGTATGTCATCTTCGGAATAAGATTTAATGACAAAAAATCTGAAAAGAAAACGAAATTGCTCTCAAACCGTTTCAACCAGCTGGAGGTAAGTGCCCTACCTGGCTGCCGATGCTTGTTTTAAGTCCATGGCTTTTGGGTTATAATTGTTTTTGTCTTTTAATTCGTCCAACAGCAGCTGGGGATCGACGGCTACCTCTTCGGTTGCTGAAGGAGCCTCCACCGGTCGCGCATGGTTCTCGTCCCGATACTCGAACTTGGAAGAATTATCCAAGTCCCCACTGCGGAAGCTGGAATAATTGCCCGATCGCTCAGGGTTTCGAGCTGGATGAGCGGGGGCCTCTGGCCTCCTGCCGTTTGGTGGCACGAAAGGGCCAGCATTGTTCGTTGGACGTGGGCCTGCGTTGAAGTGTGTCGGATACTGTTGCGGTCCCAGATTCCGGCGAACCGGGCCCGTGGGCGAAACCTTGGCTCTACTGAAGTTATTGTTGTTGCCCAATCCCTTATTTTCATACTTTTGGAAGTTCTCCGAGTCCTTGTGCACTTTCTCAGCTCGTGCCCCCAATGGAGGAGCTGTGTTTCCCGAAATGGAGAAGTCTGAGCTTGGGTCCGAATAGCCCAAGTCGATCGGAGACGGGGGAGAAGGTACCGGAGGTGGCTTATTGTTCGGCAAGTCCCAAACATTAACATCTAGATTGTGCTTTCCCGGCACCATCGGCGGTGGTGGCATTCCAGGACCCTTTTTCTTATTGTTGGAAGTTGTGGACGCTGCCTGTGGACCGAATTAGATTATTAGATGAACTTTAGTTATAAAATATATGAAGCTTACTCTAGATGTTAGTTTAGCTGGCTGGGAGGCAATCGAAGCCCAGGTTGTCTTCTTGGGCGCAGCGACAACTTCGTGATTTTGTGCTTCATCGCAGTTTCTGTTGTCCAGTTTTAAAGACGGGTGGTCGTTCTCATTACGAATTGTCTTAAAAATATAATAATATTTAAAATATAATATTATTAAGCTTGAAAACAAACATACCTGTGTTACTGGTTTTCTGGAATTCCAAGGGTTTACTTGGTGCTCATCGCGTCGTGTGTTATTGGGAATAATATGGCCATGTCTTTTATATGAGTCTAAAAACAGAGAAATTATTTAATTATTTTTAAAATGGTTACAAATTATTTTTAAATAGAAATACTTATTGAAATTTGGAAAGCTCCTACAAGCAAAGCAACATGGGATTCGCAGTTCGATTTCTATTTCGGTAAAAGGTACACAAAATTTCCAAAAATAAAATAATCAAAATTATCCTTTATGATGGAGGAGGAGACTTTATCACTCAGCGACAAGGACACCATCCCCGCGAAAATCGGGGTGATAGGGGAAGCCAGCCTGGACTCTCCGCTGTTTCTAAAGGATCGCATGGAATATGCTGTCTGCACACCTTTCGGAAAGCCATCGGATGTCCTTATCGACGGCGAGATCGACGGCGTTAAAGTATGCCTTCTGTCTAGGAACGGCCGGCAGCACGATATTATGCCCACGAACATTAACTACAGGGCGAACGTGTGGGCCATGCGGAAGATGGGTTGCACCCACATCCTGGCAACGAACACCTTCAGTTCCCTGCGCGACGACATCCAGCCAGGGAGCTTGGTTATTCCCCACGAGGTGATAGATCACACGACCAGACGGGCCCAGAGTTTCTATGATGGAGCAGTTGGGAGTCCGCTGGGCGTTTGTCACGTCCCCATGAACCCCGTGTTCTGCGATCGCACTCGCCAACACCTTCTGAGCGCCGCCAGCGAACTGGAATTGCACGCCCAGTTCAAGGGTACGGTTCTGACCATGGAGGGACCTCGCTACTCCACGGTGGCCGAGAACACCATGTTCCGAAAATGGGGGGCCGATTTGCTGAGTATGACCCTCTGCCCGGAGGTCACGCTGGCCAAGGAAGCCGGCATTTTGTACGCCTCCTTGGGGCTGGTCACTAACATGGAGTGCTGGTGTGCCCATCAGCAGATCGCGACCACCCACGAGATAATCTACACCTTCAGGAAGCACGCCGAAACTGTGCAGAGTGTATTGTTGTCGGCGATTAAGTATATTGGGGATGAGGATTGGGCCGAGGACATCCTTAAAGCCAAGGTGGGTTTAATTGGAGGAAGTGCTAGGTCACCGATTAAGCTCATTCTCTGTTATCTTTTCAGGTGCTGGTGTGCAGTAACTTTGCCAATAGCAAATAATATATTTTCCTGTTTTGAAATTTTCAGTAAAGTTCTATTTTTTTCAAATATTTATTTTATTTTAATTTTTAAATCCTGGTTCCAAGATGTAAAATTCGAATTACCCATTCTTACTAGTCTATTATTTATTGATGACCTGGCGGGTCGTTAAAAAGAAGCTTTAATCATAAAAACAAACAGATACTTGGCTATTTTAATGCCAAGTATCTTGAATACTGTTCATAGTTTCAGACAACAAATTCCTGTCTACAGATTCCAATCGGTAGAAAATCAGAAAATTCCTCTAGGCGCCTAACGAGATGCTTGCACCGAAAACCAGTTACGAGAACGTTACATACTAAGTACTTGCTAAAAGCTAAAACAGTTATACATACCATGGTTGGCGTTTATCTTTCGGCCCTTGTTCATATTATTCCACGGATTGTTGCAATTCTCTTTAAAGTTAAACGGCGGATTTTGGAATTGCATTGAGTTTTCATTGACTTTTTTTAAGCGACGGGTGATGGGTGACGGGCGGTGGGCGGGCGGCGATGGGTGGTTGGGGGGCAAAAGGACGAGGTAAACAAAAGTAAGATACATGACGGGCACATAAAAGATAGTTGGCATACCAGAGACATCATCGTGACTGGGGGAAGATAGATTTTCGTACGAGGCCTCATCAACTTGTTGGCTCCATGGTATATTTCGCTCCTCGACCGATTTAGCTGTGGAAAAAGGGGAGATAAAGGGCATTAAAACCGAACGTTTGGCCGATCAAAAGCTGCTTCCTGTCTGTGGGGACCCTTTGTCTGTGGTGGTGGTGGTGGTGGGTTATATACCTGTGTTTCCTGGTATTTTCATCTGAAACGATAGCACAGCAGGTTCAATTATTATCAGGGGAATGACATTTTGTGTACATCGTGGCGGTGTACAATATTCTTGTATATAAACATTTGAAAACTTCCTGCCGAGACCCGACTAAATCGCATCGAACATATGTACGTATGTGTGTATGCAAAATACAATTACCTGATCCACGCCTGACATTTGCTGCACTTTTCTGCCTGAAAACGGGGTAAATACGTTAATTTTCGATGCGGAAAAGGTCTGACGGGCTTCCTGCAATTACCCTTTTAAAAATAAATTATATAAAAACACAAGGCAGGTGGAATTTGTTGCTTAAAAGTTTTGGTAAACTCCGATATATTTTTTACTTAAAGAACCACATACACTGACACCACACGCACATTAACCAATACACTGACATAATTCTTAACGCTTCCGAAGCCGTTTCTTTTTGAACGGCGTTGCCGAGCCATAGATGCAGTATTTTAATACTAGATTGATACCAGGGCTGGTGGTACACAGTGTGGGAAAACGTTTCGAGACCAGTAAGAAGAAGACAAGTAGCCACCTCATCTTTGTCAGTCGTAAAAATTGTTGATTTAACTCGGGAAATGGCGAGGAATTTGCTTATCCTGTGCACACTGATGGCCTGGGCCTGGACCGGCGAGGCTGTCATGTTCAAGCTGACCCCGAACACACAGAAGTGCCTTAAGGAGGACATCCAGGCCAACCAACTGGTTATTGGCGAATATGAAGTTTCCGACGTACCCGGCCAAGTCATCGATTATATTGTGAGATTCTCGCTGCTAATATAGAATGAGCCTGGATAATATATAATTAAATTTATGTTTTAGGCTCGTGACACCAAGGGTCACATCCTCTCCCAGCAGGTTCACATCACCAAGGGCAAGTTTAGTTTCATGTCCGAGGTCTACGACGCTTACGAGATATGCTTCATTTCCAAAGTTCCTCCACGTAAGTCAAAACGTGCCAACTGCTATTAACCAAACATTATAAACAATGCTTGATCACCACAGACCAACGCGGCATTCCCCAAGAGGTTTCGCTGGTAACCAAGAAGGGCGTAGAAACAAAAAGCTACGAGGGTGTAAGTATACATTTTTAATTAAAAGAAACTAGTATAAAAAAGCTACTATCTTGAATAATTGGCTGTTTTTATCTTGATAGATTGGCGAGGCTTCCAAACTGAAGCCCCTGGAAGTTGATCTTAAGCGCTTGGAAGATCTTTCGGACTCGATTGTCAGGGACTTCGTTCTCATGCGGAAAAGAGAAGAGGAAATGCGCGACACTAATGGTGAGTTGCTACCGAGAACCCTGAAAAATTGACCTATTTAATTGGAACTATTTGCAGAGAAAACAAACAGCCGCGTTCTGTTCTTCAGTATTTTCAGTATGTGCTGCTTGCTTGGCTTGGCAACGTGGCAGGTCCTTTACCTTCGCCGGTACTTCAAGGCCAAAAAACTCATTGAATAGTTTCACTTAGATTTATAGAAGTTTTGTGTGTGGAACTGTATTTGAATGACTGGGTTTAAAATTTCATCTCTTAGTATATTTTCCGAAATAAATGCAACTACCACGTATGTATATTTTATTACTGCAATAGCTCTCCACATATCTTAGCGGTGTGACAAATAAATAGTTGGTATTGGACGCGTTTAACATAACAGGTACATAACACAAAACCGCGCGGTACAAGTTATTGGCTCAGCAGCTTGCATTGCATATAATTGATAAATCCGAAGCTCTAGACGGTTGTTTCCTTCAGAAGCATGGCACTGTCGTCCTTGCAGTCTTCGTCCTTAAGGGCCGAAGCTCCCTCTTCGTCCATGTCCTGTTTTTCCGGACTTGAGGAGGCCGGCTTCATCAGGATGTAGCGCGACTTGGCCAGAGCAGTGCAGTTTGAATCGTCCACGACAGACTGTTCCATCCAGAGACTGTCATCGTTCAGTGCCTCACTCACCAGCTGCGCCAAGCCCTCCGGTATTTTTGAGAAAGATTTAGGATCCGCTGGACCTACAAGCATACGAATCATGAAATAGCCATGTTTAAGTCAGTCACAGTCCTGCAAACCGGTTCAAAGGGCAGGCCGTTTACAAAGATTTCTTTTGATCAGTTAACAGCTTGTAAATTATTTGAAAATCGAAACTGAAAATATTAAAAAATAGAATAAAGTACAAATGAAAAGAAAAGATGTGTGAGGTAAAAAAACGTAGTTTATTTTCTTAAGATAGACGGAACACATAATAAACAATATACATACATACATAATTAAAACACAGATTCGAAGAAATATTTTAATACAGGCTTAAACCGAACTGCTGCTAATGCGAGAAGGAACCAAATATTTAGATGGAAGCTAGACATTACTCTACCTATTTACATTCGATTCCGATAGTTTAAAATAAATATATTTACACAAAGTGAAACCAAAACACAGCTCTGGAACTTAAAAGTATGTTTGCTTTCTAAAATAAAAGCACTTTAGAAACTCCTTGACAATGTTGATGAGATTTAGTTTAAAAAAAAACAGTTGGCTTAAAATACTTTTATAAATAGCAATGCGAAATGGTTCTTCTTCTAAAATGATACAGTAAGTGCCTTTCAGCAAGTTTTTGGTATGATGAGCATGCAGATGGAAAGAAATATTTCATTCCGTCGTCTATGCGAATTTATAAAGTGTATGGCGCTTTAAAAAGCAGTATTCTAGTCGCCGATTTTAAAATATTTTACTTAAGAACAAAATATAAATCAAAATAACAAACAACAACTGGAATTAGTGGATAGTACAACACATAGGAATAACACTAGAGCTGCGTCTTTGGCGCGGTGGAGCAGCATCAACTTTGTCAACATCACCCGCTCCCGCATCCGCGCTCGATTCCACGTCTCCTTCGCCTTTAAGGGACAAGCGCTTCAGGGTCTCTAGCCTAGACTTAAGTTGGCCGGGAGTAACCGTGCCTCGGGATGGCTTCTCCGGGCTATTGCTCGACTCTGGCAGAGGCGAAGCGTCTATTTCACCCGCTTTACTCTCTACAACTTTCTCCGGCATGAATCTACGGTCAAGTGGACTGCGAGAACTGCTCGAGGACGAGCTAGTAACTTCCGGATATGGGGAGTGCGACTCGGTGCTCTCGGGAGTGTACGGGTCCTCGAACAGTCGCTCAGAGTCAGTACTAAGGTGCTGCGTGTCGATACGGTTGATTATAATCTCTTGGGTCAACATGAGTCGCTTCGACACGAGCTTATATCGGTGGGCGACTGGCTGCTTTTTGATTATATTCCGACACATGGGGCAAATGGTTTCGTCAGCTCGGCCACTATCATCGAACTGGAGGTTATTGGTAGATAGATGTGCGCACAAGCACATACAGATATTATCTGAGTCAATAATGTTAATACTAATATTCGGAAAGTTGGGGGAGCTCGTCTTGTCCGGCTCCTCGTCTTGACTAATTTTGAGGGAGTTGTACATGTTTCGAGACTCCGTCGTACTGGTGGCTATTTCTTTGAAGAGCTTATTCGAGTACGGACAGAACTTCAGCTTGACTGCGGGCAGAGGTGATGTTGAGATATCGTTGGAGGTTGCGTAAGTATGCGTGTTGCAATCACAAGATCTATAAGTACCTTTGTTTGGTTTAAGACGGACAGTTAAGTAAACAGGCTACATGACAAAAAAGAAGAGATAATATTCATTAGACTGATGGAAAAAATTTGTGGGAAATCAAATAGCAGTAAAAAGGGTGCACTAGTACCTGTCATTAAAATGATGGGTTTATCTTCGAAATACATTTCAATGATAATCTAACTAACTTCGAATTACCGAAGCCTTCAAATATCCTTGCTGTTTCATCCGAAATCAATAAAAATTGGACCCCTACAAACATACGTATATACCAAAAGAATATCAAAGATATGTACAACATGCTAAGCGAAAGTTTAGACAGTGCTGTATAGACAGTGCAGATCTAAGTGTTCTTCTTAGTTTCCCATAAGTTCTTAAGCTCGAAATACTTGGGAGGATAAGCATACTACTGGAAGCCGAAATAAAACACAGTATGTTAGGAATAAAAGCAGAATTAGAAACAGCCTCTTCAAGTCAACACATTCGGAAACAAGATAAAGCTTCTAATAGCAAAGAGCAAGAATATTTTCTAAAAGAAGTGCACGATTTTCTGCAAGGCAATCAAGAATTGTAAGTAGTTTTCGATTGAGCCTTGGGTTGTTAAAAATTGGTTGGAGACAGTGTTTAAATAAATCAGATATCATACCTTGTGGTCGCCCATGCATACCGCTTCCCCAATCATGCCGTACGTCGATTCATCATTCTTGACGATCTCCTGGACCTGGGGACTCATTAAAATTCGATCACACCACGCCGGACATCGAGTGGACATATAATCCGTCGGCATTTCGGGATCTTCTTCAAAAGGATATGATGGCACAAACTGAATGGGGTATTCGACTAGCACGTCCTTGAGTGGTTCCAGTTCCCTATCATATTTTTTAAGCTGAAAAACATTTTCAAATTAATCTTTTATGATACAGGTTTAGGAAATTCTTACCCAGTCTTCTTTAAACTTTAATTGATGATCGGCATGACTAAATTCTTTTTTTCCCACAGTAAGTACGTTGTCCCCTGTTGAGTTTCGATAGTTGATTTTATCGTTCTCATTCTTAATATTCTGCACTCGATGGGCGGTCAAGTTTTGAGTGAGTTCCTTTTAAAAGATACAAGTTATATTGAGATTCTAAAAAATAATATTATAAACTTACTTTTACAACGCCCTCGGTGTCGCATCTAAAATTAAAATCACCAAAGAGGAAAAAGGGAACAGTGCCATTCACTTTGTCCAAATGGAACCTGAAAGATGTTATAATTATTATCTAAGTATTTTAGAATGTGATGGATTAAAGACATACCTTTCAATCGTATGAACTAAAGCTCTTCTTCTGGTTTTACAATAAACGGAGGGGAAGTTTTCGCACGCAGCCAGGTTGGATGCATCGTGGAATAGGTGAATATTGACTAGATCGATAACAGTTCCATTTATTTCCCAGCGTGTTCGCATAAAACCTTTTCGCGACCACTTGCACTAATGTTAAAAACCAAAAATAATTCTCCAATTCGAAAAATATTTAAATCATACACACCTCGGGGAAAAAATGTTGCGGAAATTTGGATTTCTCCTTGGTGGCAATGGTTTCTATGTTTCCTGAATAGATATGTTTACCTTTAATCACTTGAAGGTCCTCCTCCCAACTGTGGGTCAGGAAATTCCACAGTTTCAACGACGCAACGTCTTGGTGGACAAAATAAAGATTTCCAAGAGCCTGAACATAAATGTTATACAATTATATGAAGGATAGGTAGACTATTTTTATTATTTGTTGTTATAAATTGGGAATATACATGATCAAGACCACCAAAAAATTATATTTTAATTGTATATCGAACATTAACAAGACGATTTGTATGCACATTAGTATCTGAAGTTCCGGTTGACCTAGAAACACAGTTTTTACTCACCGTAAAATATTCGGCCGACTTGAAGTCCTCATCCATGAATATTTGCACGCAAGTGTAGTCTGCCATGACAGGTGCATCGCAGAGGGATTTGATGAACTCCTGCACGTATTCCATGGATTTCTCGTAGGTCTTGCCGCCCACTTCCTGCAGGTGCAGTGCCAGGAACTTGGCCTGAACGTGCGTCACCTTGTCGAGGAATTCGTGAAGCCATAGCTGGAGCAGCCGCTCTGGCTAAAATGTGAGGAAAATTCAATTAACATATCGTATCTCGTCGTAGCACCCATGTATACATATGTATATGAAATTGTTTGTAACCACGAATTTGTTTCGCGGCCCATAGATACATATTTATCTATGTTAGTGGGCCCCACATAAATATGCGTATTTATACGCATCGACTGAAGATTAGGGTGATCCCTTTGTGTTGAGGTTTTATATCATTATTTTAAAAGCCTCACAACTTTATCTTAGTATCTTTTAGGGAAGGCAACACTAAGCATACTTTCAAGCGACATCTTTTACCAAACTTTGCGAACGGTTTTCTGATAAGCACTCTTTTTTGTACTAATTAGGACCACCCAACGTACGAATACATATATGTGCTGCTTGGCCCCATACGTAAACATGTATATAGATTTGGAGTAAAGCTGCTCCTCTTCATAACTTACATCCTCGAAGAGACTTCCCACGTTCGCCGTGACGAGCAACACCTCGGTGCACAGGATGTCCTCCTGTGGTCCTTCCATTTGCTTTTTCCTGCTGTGCAACAATTTTATCCACTTTTTCAACTGCCCCTAATATTGAAAAAATGTAAATACTTGATATCGAGATGGACTATCGTGTGCAAGCACGATACTAAGCTCTCTGAGTGTGACCGTACTTTTGCGTTCTTCCCGCCTCAAAAGTTTTGAATTTAGAAAAGGGCTAAACATTTTGTTTTAGATTAGATATTGGTTAAATATTTAATAATAATGAGAATGTGGTTTATTTTTAATAATGAACAAATGTTCGAGGAACACTATAAAAGCTAAAAAGCATATAATATCATATACAAATATCAACGATTAATAAATTGAATATCTTTGGATTGTATTGTTACTCCTTTAAGGCCCTTAGGTCCGGGTAAAGGGCTCCGGCGCTAATGTAATGAGATTCAGGCTTGCGCAGGTCCCGTTTATAGTCGCTAACCACGGCTTCACCTGTCCTTTTGACCATCTTCTTGGCGATTCCCTTGGGCGTTATGTAGTTCACATTTTGGCTAACCACAAAAGCATTTCCCACCGCATCAAAAGTGCCACTCGCGAGGTTTCCCGCTGGCTGACCGTATCTGCAATTGAAGGAAAATTAATATAAATTATGTATTACATCAAAATAAATTGAATACTCACTTGTGCTCAATGATCTTGACAGAGTTCTCGCTAAGGCTGTTACCCAGTATCTTGGCCGATGACTCCAGACCGTCGAAAACAGTGCTCACGCCTTCCACAGCCCCCGCCGCAATGGTCATAGCTCCTTCCATGGTGCTGTTAGCCTGGCTGCTATCATAGCCGAATCCCTTCTGCAATAGTCGCGATCCCTGCTCCTGAATGTGAGGAGCTAAATAGCGTCCTACTGCAAGTGAAGCTGTGCCCACCTTTCCGGCTATCCATCCCGTCATCCCAGCCGCAGCATGGGTCACCTTCTGAGCCACTTCCACTGGATGGGAAAAAAATTAGCATTCGTCTATGAATTCTTTCCCCAAGAACTTACCCGATGTCTGAACAGAGCTGGGAACTTGAGCTGGAGCGTCAGCAGAGGCTGGCGTCATCTTGGAGATGAGATACGGGGTGCTCTTCATCATAAGACCTCCAGTTTTTTCTGCACCCTTCACCAAGTTGCGAGCAATAAAGTCAGCCGCACACACAATGTGTCTGGACACCTGCTCCGAGCCGGAAACGGCATCGGAAGAGAAGCCAGCACGTTGAGAGGTGGGGGACTTTAACTGCTCTACGGTGCCAGCAAGCACGGCTTCCAGAAGATCCAAAAAGAACTGCTGCAAGTCCTGAAGTTGCTCCTCCTCGGATTCCCCGGCTGTGGTGCTTAGTGGACGCAAACCCTCCTTGGCCAGAATCAAGCCAAAGGCATTGCCCGGCTGCTGACATTCCATATCGGGAAAAATGAAAGCCCCATACTCGGTGCGATAGCAGTTGGTGATGGAGGGAATGAGCGGGTATAGCCAGATCATACCTGGCTCCCCGTTGGGCATCGAGCATTGGATAAAGTATATTCCGCTTAGGTACTTCCAACGACCCCCCACTGTGCACATGACTAGCGACATGGTGGAGGCTCCGCTTATGGTTATCACGGCACCGGTAGTCTCTATTCTGTAGAGCTTGACTTGTGCCTGGAACAGCTCATCCAGCTGGGCTTGAGAATCTCGATCGGCTAGAAGTTTCCTCAAGCCTTCGGCCAGTTCACGATAGGTTTTCGGCGAGCCACCGGCGTTGGCTATGTCGTAATGAGTAGAGGGATTCTCCGACAGCAGCGGTCGCTTTGCATCTACCTCAGAGCGGGTTTCCTCCTTGGCTTCCACGGCGGTGTCATCTATGGGTTGATTCCGAGTTCGAAGAACCTTCAGCCGATAGCTGACCTCTGTCTTGGCACTTTTAAGCTTTTGGATGAGCGCACAGGCATCGTTCCACTCGCTCTGCACGGCATCAATTTCGTCCGGCAGTCCCACTGGTATTCCAAAGGTGTCTTCTATCATTTTTAGGGCCTGCTCGTAGGCCTCTATGGCCTGCTCCTGAGATTCCTGCTCCTCGTGTTCAATGGCCTGTTCGACTTGAGTCATTGCAGCTTTGTAGGCCTGTTGAATTCGGGCATATGCCTCCAGAAATTCCGTTTCCTCCGACATCACGGCGTTGATAATCTGTGAGAAGGAAGAAACGGAGTCACTTAATTTGTGTCACTTTACAAAAAAGGAAATATATTCCTTATATGCATATCTAAAAACATATTCTAATATTTTTCAGACTACAAACTTGTTGGCAGAGATTCATCCTGGCGAGGCGGATACCAAAATTAAACTAAAAGGGCCAACAGAGATTCGCTATTTTTTGGCCAAAATGCGTCACCAAACTAGTTGTCACCGAGCCTCCGCCTCCCCCAGAATCCTTCTCGCGTGTCTCAAACAGCAGCTGCTATAATTGAATTTTCGCCAACAAGATTTCTTTCGCCTTGCTGCCCGCCCATCCGATTTGCCACGCCCACTTGTTGGACTCACCTTCGGGTTGTACTTCTGACTGAGATTCTATGGCTCTGTGCGATTGATACAGATCTGTGCACTTTGTCCGCTAAGTCATCGAACTGAAAATAATACGACACGTCTACTTTTCATTTCACAATTTCGTCACGGTTTTTATTTCGCAATGTTGCTGCACCTGTGTACTTACCTTGCATATTTTTCTGGGCCGGTTATTCCGGAGTTTCTGTCGGAAATCTATGTATTTTAATTAATCACTAAATAAATTCTGCATCAACATTGTGGGTTGACTTTTCAGGCCTATTCTGTTCTGTTTTGTACCTTTTTGTTTTGCTTTCCTCTTTCGCTAATCGACTGCGCCAATTGGGAGTACTAGGCACGTTCAAGCCAAAACGTCATACGATTATTTACTTATGCGATGAATATTTTTAAAATAATTTAATGAATTTAAAAGTGTTAATAAAAATATATTTACGTCTTTGATATGAGTAATTTTTTTAAAGACATAAATTACAAATATATTATATTATATCATAAATACACTTTATTATTTTTTGATTGATTTATTGTCTTCCCCCATTCAAATAAACACAAAATCCTTGTAAATTAAAACTTTGTTTTAATCTTATTTATTCGTTTTTTTATCATTTTTAAAATACAATAAATGTTATTCCTTTAAATATTTCTTGCTGATTTTGTTTTGAATGCACAAAATACATTTCGTTCGATTCGGACGACATTCACGTGGTGTGTTTCGGCTTTTGTTTGGGAAGAGGGGGCGGCCGAGAGGGCCAAATATACACGCATATGTATGAAACATATGAAGCTGGAGCAACGAGATACTCTATTGGAATTGGTTTTGATGGTGTCGATGACCTCGGATTCGGATTCGGATTCGATCCATTCAAAGAGTCAAATTCTAACAAGTCGCAGACTTTTTGTCTTCGGGAGAAGATCTTTTGATTGAAATCACAATATATATAGAATTATATACCCGGATAACTCTATAGTACACATAACTATGTATGCGTTTTATGTATCTTTAAAAAGAATAGTTCATAATGCAAAGTCGACGAAACTGTCGGTCAGATGAAAAATAACGGTCTAATATATTCGGTACTCCGTCCATGCACTTATCGCTGTGAACCCGGAGGCCTGCGGACTGAGATGGAGCTTCGCTTATGCGGTTCCAGCGCTCGCCACCTCTCGGTAGGCGTCTTGCAACGCCTGCTGCTGCTCTGGGCTGAGGGTACTGATGCAGGCTTGCATCACTTCGGGGTTGGACTCCACCTGCTTGACGATGGTTAGCATGCGGGTACCGGTGGCGCTCTGCACCTCAAGAACCTTGGTGCAGAAAGCCTCGGCGATGATGGAGACGATGCGTGGCAGATTGCAGTTGTTGGCTCCGAGGATAACCTGGTGGTTAGCTTCGATCAGGTCGCACAGGTAGCCGTAGATGTGGGTGGCTTCCTCGGGATCCTCGGAAATGGGCAGCCACGAGAACCACACGCCAATCAGCTCATCCACGTTAGTCAGTGCCGAGGGGTTGTACTTCAAGATCTTGGTGTACGCCGATATGGCATTCTCTGTGGCATTAATGTTGTCAATTTCGCGGGACTTGGGATCGTTGATGACCTGCACCAGCAGTGGAATGATCTGGGCGCATGTAACGGCAAACTGCTCGCCGGCGAACTGGCCGAGCACTCCGCATCCGTAGGCAGCGGCCTGGCGCACCTCTGGTGACTTGTCGCTAATATACTGGAGCAGCGCCGGGGTAAAGATCTGTGAGTACGGAGCGCAAGCTGGACCACAGAATTCTGTAAAGTAATAATGACGTCGGATTAGGCTTTTTGATAAACCGTAACACCTATAGACTTACCGATTAAATCGTCAAAAACGCACACACCCCACTGGCGGTCAGCGACGGGGCGGCTGGGATCCAGGAGCTTGACAAAGTGAGGGGCCACCTGCTCGAAGGCCGGCAGGAACTGGGCCTTGTTGGTCAGGAAGAGGGCGTGAGTGATGTCCACGATCTTGGAAAGAATGTAGACGTCGGTGTCATCCTGTTCGGCCAACTCTTCCTCAACACCATCGTCGTAGTCCTCCTCATTGCGGGCCAGGAGACGCTTGTCGGCCCTCTCGAAGTGCTCCAGAAGGTATTTGTTGATAATTTCAAGAACCTGCTTCATTGCATCCTCGCTGAGGCAGTTCGGTCCAAGGGTTTCAATGCACATGGCGAGAGATTTCAGCAGCTCCGACTGAACATCTGCCTCGGGTTCAGTGTTGATGACCTTCAGCAGCTCCGGGCAGATGTACAGCCACATACCCTCCAAGTACTGGGGCCCCTTGATCTTGGCGCAGTCGAGCAAGTAGGGCAACGATTCAGCGGCGGCCGTGCGAACGCCATCGTGGAAGTAGAACTTCAGCATGGGCACCATCTGGCGCACCACCTCCTCGGCGTACTCGGCGAATCCCTCCTTGAGCTCGCGGGCATAACAGACCAGCATTTCGCAGGCAGATGCCTTGTCGTCCATTCCGGCAGTTCGAATGGCAAAGTTCTGCTGCTCGCCCAGATTGATGAACGACCACTCCACATCGCCCTCAATGTCCTCCACCTCGTCGTTGTCCAACATGGCCACCTCGGGCTTCATTGTGGCTGTGCGCATCACCGGTCCCATCACCACGGGCAGGTACTGCTCGAACTGCTTGCCCAGAATCTTGCACATGCGGGCCCAGGCGGTGATCAGGTAGGAGGTCTGCGGATCGTCGTCGGGCAGCTCTCCGCCTTCGGTGTGGTTGACCAGCAACATGTCCATGATCTCGCCGGCGTCGCCGATAAACTTGTCGCGTCCGACTGCCAAGCCAATGAGACTCACGCACTCGATGGTCTTGCCGCGAAGCATGCGCAGATCCTCAGAGTTGGCGTTCTGGATGATGAACTTCAGGCAGGGCATCAACCGGTCGTAGTAGGCCACGAACTCGGCCTCGCAAGTGTCGGCTACAGAGGCAATGGTGGTCACCACCTGTTCCAACACCAGCTTGTTGCCCTTCTCCACCAGCTCCTTGAATTTGGAGTTGAGGATCGTCTCCAGCTTGGTCATGATACCGTCCAAGTAGCGTGTCAGAATGTTCTTCGGACAGTCTTCACTGAAGTTCACCAGGGCAGCTCCGGCATGGGCTTGCACACGAGGATTTTCCACATCGTCGAGCAGAGACAGCAGTCCGGGAATAACCTGACTGTGGAATTTCTTCTCGAAAGTCGGAGCAAAATCAGTTGACATCTGACCGATGGCATTGCAAGCAGCGTAACGCACTCGGGGGTGGGGATCCCGCAAGAAGTTCAACACGCCGGACATAACTTCGTCCAAGATGGCCTCCATCTGCTTGTGGCACCCCTCACCGATGGCCGAGATAGCCATGAGAGCTGCAAAGCGGTGCTTCCAATCCGCATGACTCAGCATGGCCGGCAAAGCGTTCATTACCTGTGGCAGGACGACCTTTCCGCCCAGCCCGCAGGCAAGACGATCCAAGGAGGACTCGGCGATGACGTTGTTGTCACTGTGGTCGTCGTCATCCACCACATCGGTGGTGGACCACTCCTCATCTTCCTCGAGGTCGGTCATCATTTGCAGAACCAGCGGGATGAGGGCCACGATGTACTTGTCTGCCCGTTTCCGCACCATGGCAGGGGCGTTTTCGGAAAGCGACACCATAACCTCCAGGACAAGGTGTCGCCAGCTGTCCTCGAAGTCCTGCGAACTGAATACCTTCATGCAGATCTCGAAGATAAACTCCAACTGAGGTCGCAGGAACTTCGGGCAGTTCTCAGTCATCTCGATGAGCAGCTTGAGCAGGTTCTGATCTTCCTGTCCCTCGATGGTCTCTCCAGTGATGACGATCATCCGTGGGAGCATATCGGCAAAGTGCTTGTAGATGGACACCTCCTTCTCTTTGTCGTGGAAGAGGATGAAGGCGCCGACAGCTCGCACTGCTTGCACTCGCACCTCGGCATCGGAGCTGGGGTCCATGCTCTTGGCCAGCATCTGCTTAATCAAGTCAATGTACTGCGTCTCCTGGTTACCGAATATGGAGGGGACACTGGTGAAGATGCGCAGAGCTGACTCCTGAAGCTGCGGCGTGGGCGAGTTGGCACACTGGAAGAGGAACTGCAGGATATCCGGCCACTGGTTGTTGCCATCTTCGTCGATCAAGTTCCGGGCCACCTCGGCTATGACCTCACAGATCTTGCGCCGCAGCTGGGGAGTGACCTCCTGCTGAACGGCCAAAAGGATCTGCTGGAGGAGCTGGTTCTGCGACTCGGCTGGAATCTAATGGTAGGGGAAAAGGGGTTGAGTTGGAATCGGTTCGGGATATTCATTTCATTTTCCGGCTAACCTCTTTGTAGAATTCCAGAAACTCCGTGGTGAACAGACGCCGCAGAAGCACAGCTGCCATTTGGCGAGCCTCCTCAGATTGCTGACCATTGTGGAGGTTTGCCAAGAGATGCGTTACTTTCAACTCCCTGGGTAGAGCGTTGTATGTTTCCTAGAACAATAGAAAAAAGCATACAGTTGTAACTTGAGTAGGTTCTTCTGGCATGGCAGGTGTTCACTTCAATTGAACTATATTGATACTTTAATAAATACAGGTGAAGAAAGGCATTTTCAGATTAACTAGACCTGTTGTTTTTAATGGGAAACCACAAAAAAATAAATTATTTATGTAAGAGTTTCTACAATTGTTTTTTGTGGAAAGTTGTTTTATGGATATAAATTAATCTAATAGATTTGTGTAGAAAAATTATCATATCTATTAAACTAGAAGATTATATCCGAATAAGATACATTATATAGTGACTTTTATTAATCTATTTACAAACAGACTTTTTTGTTGGCATATGGGAGTCGCTATAGTGCAACCAATATTTAGCTGTAGTCAAGGTAAATAAAGGAACGTTCTCCGCCGGTGGTTTCCGTGGGCGGCTGGCGCTCAAGGTCAGCGGATGGGTGGGGTATTTGGGGTGGGGCGGTGCCATGTGGCGCCGGAACGGAATGGGGAATAGAATATAGCCTTATCAGCGACACAGCCAACAGATTGCATTTCCCAGACTATGTGTCATGGATTATTTTTGCACCTGCTCTTTGTTTCCGTTTTCCCCAAAAAGTCAAATAAAAAAAATCATGTGGCGGCCATAGAAATTGTGCGATTCCTATAGAATTGCGCTTTGTTTGGCTGCTTCGCACTGCCTCCGTCTCGCTCGCTCGCTTGCTGCCCGCAACAGCATGCGAATGTCGATGCCAAAGCGGAGGGCGAAAACACGTTTTGTGTGTGCGAGAACAACGATGAATCAGGCCCGAATTTCTCCGAATAGATGGCCCTCGCAGACCAAGTTATCATCTTGCAGATGCCGCTGTCCGAATTATTGTGTAGTATATTCTGTATATTGCGCATCGAGAATTGGCCAGGGCTATAGGTAATTCTGCCTGCAGATCCCCCGTTCCCTCCATTCATTTCACCACGGCGCATCGGTCACCGCATCGCAACGCAGGGCAAAGCAACTCACCTCGGCCTGCTGGCGCACATCGTTGTCCGTGGATAAAAGGGAAACCAGGAGCTGCTGGAACTGGGCCTGATCCGCTGCCATCTTCACTATCGCTTCGTCTCCAAGTTGGATGCAACAGCACTTCACAATAGCGTGTGGGGGATACCACGGTTACTTCACAATCTTCACGCGGGAGGGCCGCTTTAAAAAAGAACCAAGGTGAGGAGCTCGTGAAATGTGTGGGAATGTATCGAGGTATCGAACTGTTACTTCTAGCCTTCATCGATAGTTTTTTTGCTATCGACTATCGACGCGTTACCTACTTTATCACTGAAACATTTAAAAAAAGAATAGCTTTTAATAGTCTAATAAAAATGCATTTCCGACTTAAATTAGATGTAGCTAGTGAGTAATAAAAAAGTATGCAAGAGTGCTGTCAACTTTGAACTGCCAGCCTAGCTTGGTCAAGCCTGAAATGCTTGTTATATTTTAGGATCTAAAATTTAGATCATGAATGCTGTGAATGCTACAATTTTAATTAAAACTTACCCTTGTCACAAAAATTTTCAAATTTTTAAAGATAGGAAAGAAAAGGTTGACCAAACTTCTTAAAACTTTACTTGTGGTTTAATTTTCAAACAATTTAAAAACTTAAAAATCTGTTTTTAAAATTTTAATTAAAATAAAAATATAAATTTTTTATAAACTTATATATTTTATTAAAAAGCTCGAACGGTAACAATTAAATACAACAATTCCCAAATGTCTCTTAGAGACAATATAAATATTTTACGATTTAACACCTAACATAAAACAATAGATTACAAAATCCTAAATACATTTACTGCTTTTCCGGCAAACAGATGTTGCCTGGGAACAATAATTGTATTTATTTACCCTTCTTGCATCTTGGCCAGGCGCTTCAGGTTAGTGAAGAACCGCAAGGTGAAGTGGTAGATCATCTCAACCAAGCTAAGAATTGAAAAGCCCATGAAGAGGCCGAAGATACCTCCGCAATTGGCCAGAAATTCTGTGATGCCGTAGAGCTCCGACCTCTTTGAGGTAATAAACTGGCTTTCCTTAAAGTAGATGGACAGGCGGGACATTTGCGAGCCGGGATACTCTTCCATAAAGTCGGTGTCGCCCTCGGCCAGAAGCATCTCTTCCAGGTCAAAGTTGGCCTGCGAGATCTCAGTGTTGTAGACCAACGACGTGCAGGCGGGCATGCAGTTGCAAGCAGACTCCACGCCACGTGAAATATCTCCAGCCGCATCGAGTGCTCTGATCCTCTTGAACTCCCTTACCAGGAGCTGGCGTTCTGCTCGATCGTAGCAGTGGATCTTGTCTTCGCCGCACACCGGCATATCCATGTTGCGGGGCATCGAAAACTTGACACACCCGCACTTGGTTAGAGTGAAGTTGGCCAGGCACTCCAGCTGGCAGTTGGACTCGGTGTACACCTTGAAAAAGCGAAGTGATCTTTCGTGGCTTAGGAAACACTGTCTCCTCTGAGGGTGGTAATCGGCGATGCCCGTTGACATGGTTATCATGTTTGGCTTTACGGCGATCAACACCTCCTTGCCCATGGGGATGCGTACAAACTGCTTCGATACCTGCGGCACATCATCGGGGGCATGTAGCAGGACCTGTAAAAATAAATCACAGGTTAGGTGGATTCCATACTTGAAATCGCTTATAAAAAGTACTTCCTTTAAGGCCCTACCTTAAATCCTTGAACTGGTCCGCGGCAGGCGTAGTCCACTTCCTGTTTGAAGCTCTGGAGAGCCAGGAAGATGCCCGATCTAGCACCAGCGCTGAGAACTCGTGCCGGAAACGTTTCCACGTCGCTGTTATGTGAATAGCCGGTCTCCAGAGTCCAGGGAGTGTGACGTGAGCTGATGTTCTCCATTTCCAGAGCCTCCCCACTGTGCTGGTATTGGTAGGTGTCCTCGCGGTAGATATCGCTGGCCCTCAATCCGTTGAACGTATAACAAATTCCTTCCTCGGTAAGAGTCTTGCGAAAGAACTTCTCACATTCTCCAAACCGGCTTAGCCAACGGCAGTAAAAGAAGTATCTGTCAAATTGGGGCAGCATCCTTTCCAAGACATCGAAGTAGTCGAGATCGTCACCGGCGATCAGTGGCATACCCTCTTCGATAATCTGGGTGTTGCACACATGCAGCAAGGTACGGAACTCCTCCAATTCCAAGGCGCTCACATTTGAAGGCTTAAAGACCCGGGAGGCACGATTTTCTTCACTAAACTGACTGTATAAATCGGCGTAGGTAGTTTCCTTTCCTGAGGGATTAGGTTACATTTAAGATGTTCGATTTTATATATTCGACTCACCTTTCTCTTTCAGTACTCTCTTCGTCTCTGAACAGACGGTTACGGCCGGAAAAGGAATATTCCAAACGGGAGTAGACTTCTCCGCAAAACTCACGATCACAGGCTGTCATAGTTCAAGTGCAATTGTTGTAGATTATTTTAGATCTTCTTCAAAGAACCTTACCGTTTCCGTCCATTTGGTGTAGGCACTGGAGATCAGCGTGGCGCAGGCATAGATGGAGATGACAAAGGTACACAGCCAAAAGATGCGTTCCCGTAGCGGGCGTTCTCGTTCCCCTAGGTACTGCACTCCGTGGATGGAGGTGTGGGCGCAATACTCATGATATGTGGTTAGGAGTCCCTCGCATGCGGTGGAGGCATCATCCGATGTATGGTGGTCCCGTTGCTCCCGTTGCTTTTCTCCAAGCATTATGCTGACTCCCCTTTCCAGGTCGAAGTCTATATCATCTCTTCCACTTTTTGGAAACATAATCAAGGAAAAGCTTACAAGCACGAATCAAAAATCACAAACATAAAACAAAGAGTTCGAGCTCGAGTAGGATTAAATACGCGGATTAGACATAGTTTCCGTTATTTAAGAGTTGTCAAGCTTTTATTAGGTATAATAATTTACAACCTACTATATTTTATTTAAAATAAAATGTCTATACTATGTTTATATAGAAAAAAAATAGTTTCGGAAAAAGCCCTAAACACCTCCAAATACAAGGTATTTTTTAAATTCAAATTTGTGGTTCCCAGTTAAGCTGGCGACAATAGGAATTTAATATCGATATATCGAATAGTGATGTTTCAAAGAGAAATCTAGGGTTTTTATAGCTAAAAGAGCTAAACTCTACGAGATACTAGCTATGCGGGCTGCTCTGTCTACATCAGATTAATTTAGAAGTAATTGCCACGATTTGATTTTCATTCTGAATAAAAGTGTTGATCGTAGGTAAATAAAAGCCCGTACTAAATAAGAGAGCGCTGGAGAGTCGGTGAAATTCCAGCGCCCAATATAGCAAGACCTGTTTGTTGTTGGCGTTGCTGTCCGATTTGTTGATAGTCGCTGTGCTGATCTTTGTTTTGCAGAGTGTCGTTCGCCGTGATCTTAACACGTTCGTTGTGCAAATCCAGGCGCAACAGGTGCAAACGCAGTGAAAGCATTGGAGAAATAGACAGAAAGAGATAACCGAGATGCCACCCGTGCAGTAAGCAGATTTGTTCTGACCCACATTCCAACCGCGCCAAGGCTTCTAACGCCCCACCGCCATAACTATTGCATCACTAGCCCTGAAAATCTCATCTGAAATCAGTTATCATCAAAAAAATAACCTTTTAAGGCCGCCAGGCAGGCGAATAATGCTGCTTTCACCCAACTTCATTACTCTTAGACGCCAGCAAACGGTTGGCACGCCAGTGGGATGCACTTTTCCTGCCAGATGTTTACTCCATCGATGACGTCATGGCCATTCAAATTTATTTTTAAACGCCGCCTCGCTTTTAGGTTGATTGGTGTGTGTGTGTATCTGTGTGTTGTTTACTATTTGCTTGTGCGACTGTGTGAGATACATTTGGGTGATGAGTGGGCCGCCGTGGGTTGGCGGCAATCCCTCAATCACATTCAAATCCGCTTTCAAAAGGTATAAAATACATCCAATAACTCTTCAGATATAGTAGGCCTAAAAGAAAACAACTAACAGCAAATTAGCTTATCTAGTAAATAATAATATATATTAACGTATCTTTTTGACCAATCTCTGGAGCCAGATATCCGCACGGTTTAATGCTCGCACTCGAACTGGCATAAGATATCTTTATTTTAAAAGCTGTCATGCCCAGAAGGAATTTAAGAAGCTTTTTTTTTTACCCTTGCAGGGGGTATTATGATAATGTCTAAAAATGTGCAACAATTATAGGGAGAAAGTTCCGATCTTAAAAAATAACTCTGATCAATATAACTTCTTGATCAGAACCAATGTCGATTCGATTTAGGGAAGGTCCATATTTCCTTCGATCAGACAGTTTCTTTGGCAGCTAGTCCTTTAAAGAATATCGACGATGTTTTGAAGATAAAAGGTTAAAAAAGGGAAAGGGAAAGTGGCGAAGAATCAAATGACTATATCCAAAAGCTGTCTTATATCTAAATGATTAGAAATGCCATATTTTCTACATATAATATTACAATTAGAAGTAGCCAGCCAAACCGCAAGGGTATATAAGCTTCGGCTTCTCCCGAATCAAGCTCTCCTTTCTTGATTCGTATGCATTCGACGGAAATATGATTCAGCCAACGTCAACAGAGCCGGCCGGCGATAAGGCCTCATTGTTTTGTCCATTTTGTCACTTCACGCCCTGCCCTAAAGTTGTGTTTCATTTAGCTCAAGCTCTAGCTGCCCGCCAACATGATGTACTCAAAGGTTGAAGTGTAATGGCCTCTAAAAACAATTTCATTTAAATTAAAAACTAATCCTGTCCCTGGATCTCAATTTCAGAGTTCAGGCAATCAACATGTCGCTGGGTGCAATGCATTGCACGCGTTGCTCCGACGGATTCGAGCCTACCGAGAAGATCGTCAATTCCAATGGGGAGCTCTGGCACACACAGTGTTTTGTGTAAGTAGAAATTCTAATACAAGATTCGTATTAATGTATAGATACATTATTGTTGCTATTTTATTTTTAGTTGCGCCCAGTGTTTCCGTCCCTTCCAGGATGGCATATTCTACGAATTTGAAGGACGCAAGTATTGCGAACGTGACTTCCATGTACTATTCGCACCATGTTGCAATAAGTGCGGCGAGTTTGTCATCGGCCGGGTGATTAAGGCCATGTCCGCCAGCTGGCATCCGCAGTGTTTCCGTTGCCAGTTGTGTGCCAAGGAGTTGGCTGATTGTGGATTCATCAAGAATCAGAACCGAGCCCTGTGTCACGAGTGCAATGCTAAGGTGAAGGCTGAAATCACCGGCCGATATGTATGCCAGAAATGCCAGTAAGTGCTGTAATTTGTAAATATCCTCCTAAAATTAAATATTGTTTTTTTTCCATAGCGGCCTCATCGACGAGGAACCTTTGCGTTTCCGCGGAGAAGTCTATCATGGCTATCACTTTAGTTGCACCGCCTGTGGAACCGAACTGGATTCCACGGCAAGAGAGGTGAAGAGTCGCCCTGGATTGGCTGCCAACGATATGGTGCGTTTTAGTCATTAACTCTCGAGTAACCCAAAATAATTGGAACATTTATTTTGTAGAATGAACTGTATTGTCTTCGCTGCCACGATAAGATGGGCATTCCCATTTGTGGAGCCTGTCGTCGGCCAATCGAGGAGCGTGTGGTGACGGCGCTGGGAAAACACTGGCACGTTGAGCATTTTGTCTGTGCCAAGTGCGAAAAGCCGTTCCTGGGTCACCGGCACTACGAGAAACGCGGTCTAGCCTACTGTGAAACCCACTATCACCAGCTTTTCGGCAATCTGTGCTTTGTTTGCAACCAGGTCATTGGCGGAGATGGTGAGTAAATAGTTTATAATCACACTGGCTTATCCCAGTTTTTATATGAACGTCGTATAACTGAATCGTATCGTATAACTAAATAACTGAGTAAACATTTTTTTCTTATTAGTATTCACGGCCCTCAACAAAGCCTGGTGTGTACATCACTTTGCCTGTTCCGTATGCGATACGAAAATGACGCAAAAGTCCAAGTTCTACGAGTACGACGAGAAACCGGTGTGCAAAAAGTGCTACGAGAGGTTCCCTAACGAACTTCGTCGTCGCTTGCGCACTGCCCACGAGATGACCATGAAGAAGAACATCTAAAAATCTGGGAAATCTTCCACGCCAATCAGTGCCTTTTGTCTTTGTAGTCCTGCTGACCCTCCCGTTTTTAACATTCGAGAGCTTTAATCGCTTGTCTTGTGGAACACTAAAAACCATTGTGCGTGTCTTTTCAATCGTTTTTAACAATGTATGTAATTTATTATTTGAAAATCAACGGCAGCTAATATCTAGGAAACGAATAAGAATTTTGTATTAACAGCCTTTAACGTTGTTATTTAATTGAAATATATTTATACGTAAATGTTTTTGAAATGAAAAATGATGAAGTAGTAAGATTTTTCTTTGGTCATCTATAAACTAGGAATTGAAATTGAGAAATCATAATATTCGTTAACATTTTTAGTACAAACTATTCAATTTTTCCATAATAACACGCGATTTTATCATGGCCACGTTAGTTAAATAGCCGACACTGTCAATATGAACCAGTTTGTGGGGTTGTATGACTTCTGACAAGAATGAAAGCTGAGCAGCATTCGGCTTATGCGGAAAACCTTAAAGAATAGTGCAAATTTGGTTTCAGTGTAAAAATGAATTCAAAAATCAATCTATTATTTACAAACCTTCAAGCACGCAAATGTTTGTGGAACAAGGTGTGGTGAAGTTTGTTGGATAACGACGGATATCCTGCTCGGTTAAATCTTCCACATTGGTATAGTCCACGTATAGCACTCGATACTTAGTCTCTTCATTGGGTGATGTTTTTATCTGCTCAACCTTACCACGATGCCATGAACCCTCATATTTGGCGATAACGTATTCCTTGACACTGTTTGGAAAAAAATTGATTATTACATTAAAATTATATGAGATAAAAAATTACGCTGGCTTATATGGTTTCGAATCGGCGATTGCCGCCAATTGACTGTTCAATGTGGAAAATTCAGCGGCGTATGAGCTATCGAACGCCCCAAAAATACCCCGATCGATTCTTGAATTATCCACAACGAAAACATCGATGCCGTCCTTCCCATCAATGCTGAATTTACGTATTTCGAATGGCTGGAAAAAAATAACATTTTGATTAAATATAAATTAGTATTAAGAAAAACTGAAAACTACTTACCGGATTTAACAAGGGTTCCATTTTTGAAATCATAGGACCATTGGCTTCGGGTGATTTTCCTAAACCCATGGGTTCAAACAACTTATTTTGTGGAGCCATTTCTTTGGCCTTTAATTGGATTAATGCCTCTTTAATATCTTCTTCCAGAGATTTCGACTCGACTGTAGACGGTACTGTTTCGGAACCTAAGGCAGTGGTGGATTGTCGCTTTGTCCTTTCCAACGACAAAATCTTTTCAAAGAATTCCTGGCTTGGAAATTTCTTTTCATCAGGAGAATGATTTGAAGAGTTGTTTACCTTTTCGGATGGATTTTGAGTAGTTGTTTGACTCTGACTATCTTTTGGAATATTCATAATTTGCTCGTTCATGCATTTTAAAGCATCTACAGAGTATTTGATTGGAACGGGAGTACTTTTCATAGAAGATGCTTCTTTGGTAGCAGTATCAATAGGTTCCGGCGTTTTGGAAGGCTTTAAATCGTCTTCGACAGAATTATTTATAATGTTATTTGAAGAAGTTCCTTGTCCTAGGAGTTTTGCCCCCATGGCTTTCCAAAAATCTTCAAATAAATTGAGAAATTATTATTAGATTATTTTTTTGAGATTTCGATTTTTTTCATTTCTAGTGGGGTCGACTTACCTTCGACGCTAAAAGTTTTATTGGGTTTTGGCACATTCGAGGGTTCTTTAGGGGCTTCAACTTTTGGCAGATCCGGTGAAAGCGATTTACTGTTAACTTCATTTGAAAGTTTGATTACTTCCTTTTTAGAAATTTCGATCGATGAAGATTGCTGTTTCGGTAGCTCTTTGTTACTGGTCTGGGGCATCTCATCAGCTTGAACACGCTTATCAGATAAAAACTGCCTAATAAGTGAATTTAACGACTGCGCGGTATTTGGATTAATTAAATCTACGCTAATGTGGCCAGGCGTCTTTTTATAATAGACCACAAACTTTTCCCCTTCAAATTGGGAAACAAATTTGACATACGCATCGTTAAACATTTTGTGGGGCACATCCATCAGTTGTACCACTTTGGAATAACACGGAAGTGATATCAGTTCCTCATTGATTTCACGTAAATCCGACCTATTTCTCAGCTTTTCAGTGCCTTGATCCATAAGCATTACCTTTACGTTTTGGTTAACAATATTCAAGACTTGGGCACGGTGAAACGTCCCATTGTGACGGGCAAGACAATAGCCATATACATTCAGTTTTCCCAATTTGGGCATCTCATTACCAACGGCATTGATCTATTTCAAAAGGAAATAATAAGTTAATAACTCAAAAATAGGGAGTATAAAGTACATTTTAGTATAAACTGAATGGTTTAAAAGGTTAGAAGGTGCAGAGCCATTTCTATTTATTTCAAAATATATTTATTGATACAATGAATGTATCAAAATAAAGCGCTGAATGTTGTATCAAAATCGAATTATTTTTTGTTTAAAGGAATTTTGTGTGATTGCCCCATCGAAAGTTATTTTATTCTTAAACTGATTACAATATTTCCCGCATATGTACATATACACATTTATGTATGTATGTATGAACAATAAAGGCTCAGATTACTTTCTCAGAGCTGCACAGTTCAGACATCCATACCAAAAATGTGTATAAGTAACGCATTTATATGATTGTATGCTGCTATACAAGATCTCAATGCGTATGAGATTTAATTCCAAAGTATTGGGGTAATTTTTGGGACTCAAGTAGCTTATGTTATACAGACCTTTTCGCACACTTGCTTATATGCCACGTCAGCAGGTTCTCTAGCATCGCGAATATAGCATCGGTTAGAAGAACAGAATGCGTTAAGATACACAAGAGTATTGCTGGGCGGCATGCTCACGTTCGAGATATGCTTTACTTTAAATTTGCTGCCGCTGCAATTCGATACTTTGTTGGTGGTCTCCGGAATAGCTGGATTTTCTTGGTGTGTAACGCTTCTAGTACTGCTGACACTTTGATCTCTATTCAAATCGGAATTGCGGATGGGATTTGCAGTGCGAGCTGGAGGCGGTTGCACTGCCTCATCCACGTCTTTATCAGGTGCAGCTGTAAGTCTGCCCTGTATCGACAATTCATCGGCGACTTGATGCAGGGAAAACGAGCTTGGATAAACCAAGGCAGGCATCGGAAAGCATATGTAGCGATGACGCTGCCAGTCCTTAACCTGGCAGTCCTTGCAACAGTAAAAGTCTCCACATCGTTGGCAGGCTCTTTCCGCTACGTCTGCGCACAATACGCATTTTCCTTTTCTTTCCGAGGACTAAAAATAAAAGATGGTGCCGTGTTGAACAGGTTTTCTTGGTGTTTTTATTGGCACTCACTTGAGGAGTTATAAACTCTTTTTTGGGCGGCATCGTTTCCAGGTCTAAATTTCGGCAATAGAAAAACTGGGAATTCAACGCAAAGCTTGTAAGTAGGGTTGTTGATAAGACTTAAAAACTATAATATATCGATGTTTGTTGGTTGTTATCGGGGCTGCCTCACTCGCGTTTTGAACATATCGGTGACAAAATTTTAATAAACCATTTTTTTATATTCGAATTTTTTTTCAGAGTTACTTTTGTATGGGTTTTGTATAATGTATTAGATTAAGGTTTGATTTTAATGTTAAACCAATTGCAGTGAAACGTAGAAAACTGCTTTGTGTCCCAGTCTTTTAACTGCTTGGACTGCTTGAAAAATACTGCAAAATAAATAATCGATAGACTTTTAGTATTTGTCCGTTACTTTTTAAATTTCGCGGCATTGTTCCGAGTGTTCACTAGAGTCCTAGGTTTTCTTGTCTCGTCTGCCCCAATACTAGGCAATTATTTTACTCATCGCATTTTTCTTCGTTTCTTAGCTTGACCTCGCGCAGTTAATCATTCACATCGATAATTGGATGGTAGATGTCTCTATTCGTTATGGATTGCAGTTCCGCTCCCGAGAACGAATTTATAGCGTGCATTATATTCGGACAGTTTAATTGAGTATCGACATTTATTAATTCGTCCGGCCGTTTTAGTATAATGCCAGTAATTTGTTGGTCCATCCGAATTTACCCACTCAAGGCTTTCAACACTCTTAGATGTGGACCCATTGAGGACTGGTTAAGTTTTCGTTTCTGGTTTCCTTTTCAGGGTATTTGCATGTTAAAGGGAAAAGGTAGAGGCCCAGCTTCGAGCGTCAGCTATGCACATTAATTAGGCCGGTTCATTAGACACATGTCCATCAAGAGTGGCTCTGATCCAGGACCAAAACTGAAACCAAGGCTTGACGACTTCGCCGCCGGCGAGGGAATTTATTCCAAGCCAAAGCTGGGCTGCGTCTCGTGTTGCCTGTTTTATGTAATTAAGCCAGGCGCTCACTATTTAAATTGCTCCTGAATGGCGAAGGGACGCAGAGGATTTGGGCGGCATGGGCACTCAAAAAAATAAGTAAAATTGTACATTACAATTCCTTGAACATAAAGGATATGGTTTTCTCAATAGGTCTACGTTTATGTTTTATCCTAAATTTCTGTGATAAGTGTAGATTTTTTTTCAGTATATTCCATATGCGCCTCGGTGTATCACGAATTGGCAATTGAGGGCCAGCCGGGATCGGCTTCAAGCTCAAGCCCTGGCCAAGTGCAATTTACGGGCAGGGCAGCAGCCTTGGTCAGCCGCCAGCCTCCGAATCAAGATCCTCATCCTCCCAACAAAGCCCAGCCGAGGAGATCGGGATGGCCGAGAGTCAAGACGACGTTCGCTCGTCAGCGCTTGAGCCAATAATTATGGTTATTAATCGGCCTGGGAATTGGCTGCTAATTTGCAGTTTAGTTACAAATTCTGGCCGCCAGCGTGCAATTACCCGCTTAAATTATAGCCTCAAAATAAACAAAACACCGCAACGCCAACAAGAATCGTTGTTCTCGATGGCTATGACTCCTGTTGCCAGTGTTTTTCGAATTATTTTAGAAGTATTCTGAGGTATGGAAAAGGTCACACCACTTAAGGCACTGGAAAAAAATGCGTAAACATTATTTGTATATTATATTTGTAATTTAACAGGCAATTAATTAAGAAAATGATTTAAAAAGTATTTGTAGTTATTTATGTTAAGTTATTTTGCCTATCTCTTTCCCTGAAGTTGTTATTCTATATTTTATTTTCTGGTGCAGCGTCAATGATTGTTAACCCTTGTGCGTGTTTGCTTATCACGAATCTTATCGACGATTAAGCCGGGTCAATACCGCACATCAGCTAATGATGCTGGCAGTTCGGTGCTGCAACTCATAATTAGACGCCAGTTCTGGGGCGTTACTCAATCAAGAGTTGATGGCACAACCCTCCATCCAGCGCAGCATCATCATCATCATTATCATCAGAGGAGCAAACTATCCTGCTGCATGATCGCGGCAACTACAACATAATTTCCAGACGTCGACGCGTTGCTCTACCAATTTCGGAGGCGCGCTGGCAACACTTTTGGGCCGCCAAATCAAATCGTGTGCTGTTTATTTAAATAACCATAATTTACCGCACCATCCCCAGCCGCCTCTGCCCCCGCATCTGCATTTTCCCCTCCTCACAGTACTCTCGATGCTTCTGGGGCTATTTATTAACCCACACATTCAAGAGAACTGCACTGAACTGAACCACTCCGAAACGATCCTTGGCTTTTATGGCCTGGCACATGATTTTCCAAGTCTGTGAGAACATAAAAATTCAATTTAATATGCTTCCAAGATCATCGTGAAACCAAGTTGGCCTCTTCTTTCTCAGATTTAGCTGGAAAACTTTTTGTCTAGGGCTAGAGCTCAATGAATTTTGAATTTACCCTTGTATCCAATGTCCAATCAATGCTGGCTCTGATCCAAATAAGTTGTAGGTGTTTGGATAGTGCGTCAGTTTTGTTTTTAATATCGATTCTAATCTAAGATTACAAATAGAACGAATTGTTTTACAAACTACAAATGCAAGGCCTCGGAACAAAAACCTGAATATTAGATTCCTGCAAAGTTTTGCTGGGAGTTTTATGGTAAGTTGGCATGAAAAAGATAAGTATAGTCATACATAATTGCAAAAAAAAACAACAAAGTAAATTATAAAAATTACAATTAAACAACAAAATCAACAATAAAAAAATAAACAAAAAAATAAATAGGTATTTTTCCAATTTCGGTGCTGCCTAAGAGGAACCTATGAGAATCGAGGAGGAGGTCGATATTTCCCAATTATTTATTTTAAAAATGTTTATTTAATATTTAGCAAATTAAAGCATCTTTTGAAAGTTATAACATGGAAAAAACGGTAAACTTGGACTTTTTATTACTATTTGACTTCTGTTAGTCCTCAAAGGTAGGCAATGAAACATTTTTACCTCATAAGCAAAAATGTTTACTTTCTGAAATTATAGAAGAATTAAATTAACTAGGGATATGTAAGGAATGTAATGAATTTAGCATATACATACATACATATGTCGCAAATATCGGATATATATAGTTGACCGATCCGTATAGAAGTTGAGACCGAATTTTAAGTCCCAAGCTTTTTATGAGCATCATCATCATGAGCATGAAAACTTGACAGATCGGATTAGATGCCAAAAAATCCATAGTATCCATAGAAAGTCCCAAACTTTTATCTTAAACAAGAAAGGAAAGCTAACTTCGGGCGGAGCCGAAGTTTATATACCCTTGCAGTTAAAACCGGATATATATCGCAAACATCGGATATAGTTGGCCGATCCTTATGAACACATCATAATAAAACCAATTAACTAAAATAAAAAATCTAAAACAAGTCCCAAGCTTCTATCTTCAAAAATAAGAAAGTTGATATTTCTACCAAATACCATTTCCGACCGTTCAGTTAAATGGCAGCTATAGGATATAGTTGGCCGATCCTAATGAAATTTCCTAGGTCGGATTAACTGAACAAAAATATAATCTGTACCAAATTCCAGCTTTCTATCTTCAAAAACACGAAAGTTGGGTCATTTCCGATCGTTCAGTTATATGGCAGCTATAAGATATAGTCGGCCGATCCTTATGAAATTTGGCATGTCGTATTATTTTGCCAAAAATAGCTCTCATGTGAAATTTGAACTCTCTAACTCTAAAAACACCGAAGTTATACCATTTCCGATCAATCAGTTATATGGCAGCTATAAGATATAGTCGGCCGATCCCGGCCGTTCCGACTTATATACTGCGTGCAAAGGAAAGAAGGGTGTGTGCAAAGTTTCAAGACGATAGCTTCAAAACTGAGAGACTAGTTCGCGTAGAAACGGACAGACAGACAGACAGACGGACAGACGGACAGACGGACATGCTCATATCAACTCAGGAGGTGATCCTGATCAAGAATATATATACTTTATAGGGTCGGAGATGTCTCCTTCACTGCGTTGCACACTTTTGGACAAAATTATAATACCCTCTGCAAGGGTATAAAAATACCACAGTTATGGCTTTTCGATCAATCAGTTATATGACAGCTGTAGGCTATAATCGACCGATCGTGGCAGTTGCCATCCGACCGACTAGCAGAATACATATGTTGTAATAAAATTGTAACCCAATCCTGATTCCTTGACACCTTTTTGCTGTTTCAACAATTTAGTATACCACCAGAATTATTATACATATTAAAGCCGTCATATGTCGATTTTGGCCAAGTGCCAGGACATAACGCGATCGATTCCATTATAAGCAATTTATGATCTCACCGCTGAGAACGTCATCCCACCGAAAGTGGTCAGGTAAATTGGCCAAGTCGTTGGGTCCGATAATCTCCGAAGATCTTTTGCTTAAGTGGATCCTAGTTGGATGGTTGGTGGACTCAGCACGTCAAGTTTAGAAAAATGAGCTTGTTAACGCTCCATGATGAGCCCAGTTAGTGTCTGCTGCCATGATCTAAACCATATAACCCGGAGCCAGATCGATTCCACTCGATCGTTCGCAGATGGAGATGGATGAGAATGTGGAGGCTAGGCAGTGCTTGCATCTCCTCTCGATCGTCCCTCGATGCGAGACTCTTCATTAGGGCTCTGTGTAAAATTACAACACGATAACACGTAATCATTAGCGTGGCTTCAGAAACGGTGTGAGCAAACAATTTGGGGGCCGTATATCCGAACAAGGCAACACAGCTTCAATTTGCAGTTTCATTATCAAACGAGCCAAGAACATAATTTGGCTAAGGCCAAACATTTGGCAACAGTCAGGGAAATCGTCAAAGGCCTGGCCAGAACGGCGAGAGGCCAATTTGCCGTTCTGGCCAGGCTGGTAGTCCGTCTATCGATCACGTTTCGAACTGAAAGGCACGACCATGACGAGGAGGCCAACACAGTGGTTGAAAAAAGTGTACTTCTTTATTTATCATAT